AATCTAACCGGTTGACCACTTGAAATGGATTCTTATCCCTTGATTTTTTTTACACCAACACCTAAAAGACCTCGGATCACTGAGTATAAACTTCCAGCCGATAAATGGAGTTAAAAGAGCCACATGTCATTGGATTTACATTCCACTCGGATATCTAGGCTAAGGACTAACGTCTAGACGATCAACATAACAAACAAGGTATGCTAAAACATTCTTTGATACCATGAGGTAAGGGTCAATGAATTGATCAATAAGACACTTGGATTGAATCACAATAAAATATTAAATTTAATCGATTACTTAGTTCAACTTAAAAACTTTTATATCAATTACTTTTCGCATCAACTTCCGAGGATATACTCCAATCGTAATTTATATGAATTGATCGAAGTGATTCAACAAGAAAAAGTAATACTCCGTACATAGTAAATAATAAAAATAAATTGAAGAGAACAAAGTCTTAGAGATAGGTAAGAATCAACAATTTCATCTACAAAAAATTGTAGTTCTCAAAAAATGCATGAATAATTCGCGATCATTTTATATATAAAAAAGTTTGGTACCAAACCGTCCTGAAACCTGTTTGGATTATGTTATATCACTACAAGAATTCACCTAAATTGCAACGGAAATCTGCGAGGGACTACTTTCCGTCGTAGATCTGCAACTAGATTGCGACGAGGATTGATATTTAGAAAATCAGGTAAAAACTGCTATGGACTTACGAAGTTCATCGCAAATCTACAATGGAATAAGTTGTTCGTCGCAGACTAACCCTTACCTTATCTTTTTAGTCTCAATCGACATCCTCACAGAGAAGTCATTCTACCCCCTTCAAAGTAGAAACCATCTAGGGTTATCCGCCGTTGCCTTAAAAAGTCACCCTCTGCTTCACCGATGTTCAGCCCCTCCTCGCCGTCGCCAATATTCAGCGCCCTCCTCACCTCATCACCGCTGCCTCACCTTCGCATACCCCCCTCGTTCCCAGCAGCTCCGTTGCGCAAGATGGGGAAGCCACCACCCCTGTCGCCTCTCGTTTTCATCGCCGTGCAACTATGACCTCCGCCCAGCCCTTCACCACCAACATCCTCTATCTCTTCCAAGCCATCTGCGCACCCTCCTCACTGCCCAGGCCAGCATCCATCCTACCAGTGCCGCCGCCCTCTCAGTCACGACTTCACTGGCCTGCCTCCACCTTCTTGTGGTCGCCCCATCAACGGCCCTAAGGTTTTCTTTTCATTTTTTCATTTAAAATCGAAAACTATAAGTTCAATTATTGCTTCTGTTTTGTGAATTAGTTGAATGTTATTCACAACTTTCAACCATCTTTACTTAATTAATTAATTAATAGTACTCATTCTAAGTGCTGTGTATGTATGTAAGCTACCATATTTATTGTTCAATTGCAATTTTTTATCAAATTAGGTGTTATGGATCTATTTTTGTAAAACTGATAGCATAGCAAGGTGTTTACATGTTTTATCAGAGTTTTATATGTTGAATTTATCAACATCATGATCTGAGTGGTGGTTGAATTTGAAAAACTTGCTTTATATGCAACATTGATTAAGAAACCTGACTTTGAAATCTGATTCCAAACGGAACTTTGCACATAAAGTGTGTTTTTTGTTTTTTAATTGAGCACCATGTGTAGAACTAAAAGACAGTGTTGAAATATTTGTGGTTATCTTATTTTCTACTTCATCATATGTTGCATTGTCTCTTGAGCTTAATTGATTAATTTTACACCATTTATGCTTTTAACCATCGATTTAGGAGTTTTTCTAAGATTTTTTGAGCCTATGTAAAAATAAATTTGTTTGAAATAAATATCTACACATACAAGATGCAAAAGCTGATCTGAAGCAGCATTTCCAAGTACCAGGCAATGTGTGTTTTGTCATTTTCAGTTTCTTTAGCCTATGCGGTTCAAATATTATCTTTTTTTTGGGCTGAAAACTAAAAAGTCTAGATAATTTTGAATCTAATTCTTATTTTTATTTGGTTAAAAAAACTTGGTCTTAGTTTTGTTTTGCAGGTTTCAGGTTCCAAAAAGCACATAACGGAGAAAATTAGGACCTTCATGCTGCATATACTTTTTAAGGTGTAATTTTCCTCCCCTTTCTAGCTTGCATTTTCTGAATTTGGATTAGCATGCTCTATTATTCGATTGTATTTGTAGAATATGTAGTTATGTTTAATGTTTTTTAGTGATAAAATTTCCCTATTCCTTTTTGTATTTCGTCCAAACCATTTAATATTTAATTATTTTATCTAAACATTGTTAGATCAAACAAGTAGGTAAAAAATTTGGGGTGGATATGATCTGAGATCAAATACTTCATTTGTAGAAATAAGTTAAATAGAATAAACGTACTTTGTATATAAAAAATAATATAATCACTTCAAATTTATGATGAATATATATGCTATTTTGGCTGAATTATCTTGTTTTGCACTTCATCATAGTTGGCTGATGATTTTTTATAATTGTAGGATCGATTCTTTGCGCTTTATGAATTGACATTATGTGAAGAAAGAGCCCAATGTCGTGATGAGCAAACATGGTATTTGCTATGCCTAGTGGAGGGACCTAATATGAAGAATTGTGTGCCCCGAGAAAATAACTATGAGCATGAGATGAGAACCTGATATTTGTTAGAGTTTTTTATTCAAAACAAAATTGTTTAACTAGGATTTTTTTGTATACATTACACTATGTATATTGTAAGGATTGTATTTGTTTAAAATTAATATGACATTGTGGTCTTTGTTATTGTTTGATGTTTAATTAATTATTTTAATTTGTTGTATCGTAAATCTCGTTCTTGTTTATTATACGTCCACGACAACATTTCAAAAAATAATAGAAAAGAGAAGTGACTTATCAGAAAAATAAAAAAAATTTAGTGTTTGGATGCAAGAAATTTGCCACAAATCTGCTACAGACAATCACTTTGTTGCAGATTTCATTGAAATGCTGCAGAATAATTCTGTTGCAGATTTTGTCGCAAATCTGCGACGGTCAGTGTGTCCGTAGCTGTTCCGTTGCTGATTTGATTATTTATTTACCACGTGAATAGCGTCGCAGCTCTGTCGCTGATTTGCGAGAGACGTATTTTTCCGTCGCAAATATTCAGTTTGCGACAACTTTTTTGCGACGGACTGAGTCTATGGCAGATCCGTCGCAGATTCTCTATCTGCTACGGATTTTTCAAATCTGCGACGGAATTTGTCCGTTGCAGATCTCTCACATTCTTGTAGTGTATGGACGGATGAGGACAAGATATTTGCTCTGAATTTTACAAGCGGGCTTGGCCTGCCGAAATATCTAAGCGAAAAATTACTTTTAACTTGATTCAAATCCGTGTTTGTAAACATCTTTATTTTATCTCCAATTAGATTCTACTTATCTAACCAATAACTTATTGTGTTTACTTCAAATTGTATTAAATGGCCTAACATGGATGGAAATCTTAGGTTGGAGTTTGGAAATCGAATGCAATAAGAGGGCCATCTTCATGTAAGAATAAAACAAGGAAAACAATGTTATATGGAAAGCAATTAAATCTAATATTTATTTCCTATATCTAATATTCCTAATAACTTAGTAAATTCATTTTTCAATTCATACTCAATCTAACATAAAGTATATATCTACATTCGTTCAATATTAAAATAAATAATTAATATGGAATTAAGGAAATAAACCATTCTTATTCATCGTACGGGATTTGGAATCATATTTAAAAGGTCTTTTTTAAAAAGTAAAATTTACATTGAATAGAACTAAAACATAAGTCATTTCCCAATGTTGAATTTATATTAAACTTTTTTATTCTCTAAATAGGAATTAATGATGACTAGTGAGAAAAACAATGTCAAAGTGATGGTAGACATTTAGTTGAATAATGACTAATAGATAATGATTAGTGATCTTACATTGGAAAATAAAAATATATGGTCCTATATTGAAAAAATCATTATATTTTAGTCCAATTTAAAACATTTTTCTTACTCTAAAAAAAAAGAAAAAACGTTTTTTTTTGAAAAATTAGAAACGTTTGATGATGGTTACTCATTAAATACGCAGTAATAATAACTAATAGCATAACGGCTCCACTTTTTCATGCTTGACAGCGAACTAAATTACTCCTCTAATTGACAAATTTCATTGATTTAACCATTGGATGCATCAATTTAAACTTTCCCTATACCAGCAATAATTAAAATACTAATAATATTAATACTTGGGATACCCTTATTTGTATACCAAAGCACTCACGGATAAACACACTCATATACAGACACTCAATGCCTGAACTCTTGAATCTAGTACTAGAACGGCATTTAAAAATTTTACTCCCTCCGATCCGTCCCGCAAAAAAAACTTTTCGTTCTAACCTTTAAAGGATTTAAAGAGTGTATTTTGGTATTGACTTTTAAAAATACTCTTTGATGTAATAGATATATAAAATAGAATGTGATGGGCAGATTAATAGTGGAAAAGTGTGATGTAATAGATAGATTAAAATTTAATAGGGGTAAAACTGACTTTTTAATAGAAAAAAAGGATTATTGGAACGAATGAAAAAAGAAAGATTTTGTGAGACGAAAGATTATTTAACTAATGCCCCATCCACCAGCAGTTTAAAAAATGCTTCTGTCCCATAAAACTTTTTAATTTTCACATCTTGAATTGCTCGTCCCACAAAATATTTAACTTGGGTTAAATAAACATAATTATCTTTACTTTTCTTTAAATCTAACAAAATATACATTTGACTACCTTTTAAACCCTTTTTATTTTGATATTTTTAAGCCCTACTCTTTTCAATTATCATTGGTTCATACTCCCCCGTCCCTAAATTATTATTATTAAGATGTGATATGTAGATTATTATTAAAAAGATATGATGTGATATGTAAGGTATAAAAATGTATCGTTTCTCATGCATGCATGCCGCAGTATTTAAATATAGATATAATTAAACTTCGAATTCAAATAAAAAGATTCATTCTCTCAATAACAAAGTACGATTAAGTAAAAGAACAACTCTGCAAACAAAACACGAGGTAACAATAATATGTAATGACAGAATGAAAGGGCGAAAAGGACAACGACAAAAACACCTATTTCCAACTAATTAACCACTAATTAAAGAAACGTAACGTTCGACGACGCAAAACGAAGCACAATAAAAAAACGTGACGCCGGCCCTTTGACTAACAATCAAAACATCAACATGACAGCAATCCCAGCGACGACCGCCATCCCCACGGCGGGAAACGAACGACCACCAACCGCCACGGCGCCGGACTTCGCCTTCTGGGCCGGGGCGGGAGACGGGGAACCAGAGGGCGGAGCGGAAGGGGAAGGGACATTCTCCGACGGCAGGATCCGGGCGGGAGAAGGTGCGGAAGACGGGATCAAATAGTGGTGGTCGGGCGACATGACGACGACGGAGAGCCTCTGCCCCTTGGCGCAATTGTCGGCGTGGCCGCTGATGAAGTAGAACTGGCCGGACCTGGTCAGGGTGAATGTTGATGAATTCCCAGAGCTGGTAGTTATTAGGGTCTGGATGGGCCTCGTCTTGACGCAGTGGTAGTAGTCCCATTTCTCCACCAGTAGAACAGAATCTTCTCCCTCCTTGTACTTGAACACTACACACACCCATGCATATAATTTGTTCCCGTCAAAGTATACATAATTTGTTTGTGTGACCGAAATATTTAAACTGTAACAATCTTTTAATTAAAAAAAAGGGGAATATTAGGTAATGAATAATGAAACGAGTGCAAAATAAGTGGATGTAATACGTACCAAGTGTGTCATTGACGTGGAAGCGAAGGCCTTGGGCCCAGCGGTTCAAGCCGTCGCAGGGCTGGAGGGACCAACCGCCGTTGCCGCCAACGGAGAAAGTGTGACCGGCCGGAGACGGCGGGCAGGAGAGGGAAGAGGCCGCAAGGACGAAGAGAGTTGAGGAGAAGAAAAGGGCCGCAACAAGCTGATGAGATTCCATCCCCCCTGCAGGCTATGTATGTATAGATCAGATCAGAGCAGCTAACAAAGATGGATGGGTAATTACAACAGTGACAGAGGCAACGATCGATGATGAAGATAACTAACTACGTACCCCCGATCGAGTTTATATATATATATATAGAGAGAGAGAGAGAGAGAGAGAGCAAATGTATCGATCCGTAGGAAATAAATAAACAACAAATCAAAGAGATGAAGCGAATGTAGATGAGTGAGATCTATTATATATTGAGTCCAAGTGAACATACACATGCATGCGTGGTGTCTATATATAGTACTCCTACTAGTGCACATTTACTCTCTATCATCCCTATAGTCCTCAAACCATTCCTAAAATATCTAAAATATACTACCTCTTGTTTCTGAAAATCTTTCTTCTATCTTTTTTTTTCACTCTTCCTGAATTTTTTTTCTCATTTCTAACCTATGTATCACATAAATCTATTTACTATTAATCTACTTATAAAATTCTATTTTTACTCATCACATTCAATGACATTTTTTGAAAACTACACACCAAAGTACACTCTACTTAAATTCCTTAAATTAAAAATAAAAAATTCCCGTGTTCCCTGGGACCGAGGGAGTACTTCATTACATAGTTTATTAGGGGTAAAAGTTGCTTCGGAAATACTTTTAACATTTTAGATGGATAGAAGTATTTTTATTTTACAAAAATAAAAGGCAGGCGAAACGGAAGGGGGGGATCGGAGTAATTAATCAAATTAGTGGCAAAGGGATTAATACGGTCTCCGTAATAAAAAGCTAAGGAAGAGTGACCGGCCCGCAGGGATTAATTATTTTAATTATATTAGTAATAATGGCATTTAAGACTACTGTTGGATTAGTAATTTCAATTTCGCTACAGCGCAGCCCTTGGGGAAATGATGAATCTTTTTAATTTCTCGAGAGACAAAATAAAAAACTCCGATGAAATTATACTCACACGATCTCAAATTAGATTACAATTTTTTCTCTTCTCTCGAATTTTTTTGTTTATTTATATATTTTTATTGGGTATTAATAACATAAAATATCATCTCTAATTTTGTAGAATATTTGACGTCGTTTTTGTAATATATAATTTATTATTTTTTTATTCTTATTGATGTACCAATTTATAAAATTATTTCAAAAAGCGTGAGATTTTGTTTCATAACTCTTGGTTTGCAATCAAATTAGGGAGGGAGGGAGTTTATGTTGATATATATTTTGGTTAGTTTGTTCTTGGAAAAAAATTTGTACTAAATAAAAATCTATACACGTCCATCACTTTAAACCTTTTTTTAAATATTTGTTACAAATTTTAAATCGTTAAAAAAATTTAGAGAAAAAAATTCCTTTTTCTGTCAAATTTTTTGTTTAAAAATTTTAAATTGTACGTATAGCGGATTAATATACTCCAGAGTTATACTGAATACTCCGGAGTAATTTGGAGTATTGAATTCGAATAATAACGTCGGGAAATAACGTTGTTTTGAGTACAGTAGTGCATTGAATAATTTGGTGAATTTTTTTGGGAAAACTAGTGGATTTTAAGAATGGATAAGGTTCCATTTTAAATAATTTCGATCCATCAATGCTTCCATTTTAAAAATATGTTCATAAGAAAAAGAATTGGACCTTTTAAAAAAAATTTATATGTCCATCCGTAAAAAAGTTTATATTTGAAGTCTATGATCACAAAAATGCAACTGTTCAAAATATTGCACATATGTCCCTTCGTCCGTGAATTCAAGCTTTACGAGTACTTTTGGTTTCTTTTTCCCCTTGTTATATAAGAAAATTACCTAAAATGAATTAAAAGTTTAAAACATTAACATATACGGAAATGAGAGTTAGGCCTATTTGAGACGGAGACATGTATTATTTCAACCAATAAAAAGTAATCCAGTCCCCGTGTGACAAATGAGTGGAGTGTCGTAACATACAGTGGTAAGTCGTTGTTTTTGTCTATTTTTTTTACTTTTTAATGATTTTTAATTATAAAAAATTATTTTAAAAATCTATTTTATTATTAAAATATGTTTACTTCTTTTAAAAAATATTTTTTTTCAAAAATTACAAATATTAAAAATATTAAAAAAATAAAAAATGAGAAAGTCATGTCTTGCACATGGAATGAAAAGTGGGATGGAATGGCCATGGAATGCCATGATTTGAGTGAAATTTGATGACATGGCATGACAAGGCATTGTCTTGTCATTGTGAATGCTCTAATGATATTGGAAGTGTTGTTTTAGTACGAGGACCTTTTAACCACATAAATGAATGTGACCTTTTAACACACATCATATATCAGTAAGAGTACCATTTGACCACATAAATGAGTGTGAGACTAGTTTGTTTCATTCACACTTTCATCAGTAAAATAAACGAATGAATAAAACCCTTTAGATGTTAAAAAAATATACAAAAATAACACAACATATACTATAAACTGAGTAGACCTACAACAGATGCCTTCCTTTCAAGGATTCTTGAACATACAATACAAGCCTCTCTCACTTTGGTTCACATTTTCACCTCATCTTAGATGCAGTGCTTGAAGTAGCTGATGCTGTTTTGGGATGAAACTTTCGAATCTCTTTTCTTTTAAGCACTTCTAGCTTTGGTGATTTCGGTATCGTCACCTGTTTGGATGATCTGCATGCATTTCATCACACAAGTCGTCCCTTATTAGACTGGAATTATGACACCCCCTAAGCTACTACGTACTTACTATATTTTCGGAACGCAGAAAGGGGCAGGGAAAGTTTCAAAATGTCAAGGAAAAAGTAATTTTAGTGTTTGGGATTACATTGTAAAAAACAAAAGAAGATCATGCAGTAATTGATTCATCCTTATGTAAATATGGCCCATATTTTCTTTACTTTTAATGTTTTCCTGCTCTAGCATTTCCAAGATTCAGTAATTCAACCTTAGTGCTTGTGTGTGTGTGTGATGGAGAAAAAACACAAAAGCACATACTTTTGAGGTTGGAATGGTTGATGAAACTTGGGGATTGGTCTTGCATGTGGGACCAAAGTCCTCCTAAGCTGTTTCAAAGCCTTCTCCTCCTCCATCTATGCATATCAAGAGCAAGCAAAACATAATTAACCATTTACATTATGGCATAAGTTTTTTGGCGAATATGTGACGTATGAAGATTTCTTACCATCCTCGCAGAATCTGCTTCATCTCTATACCTCTTATATATAACCTCTTTCTCCTTGATCTGTGTATACCAAGTTCACAAGTGAGTGCTAAGATAAAAGCTCAGACATTTTGTTATTCAACCAGTAGTAAAACTTGTTAGGGAAACTAACAATACTTACCTTCTCATCGAATTTGGCTCTATCCACCGCACGATGCTCCATGTGCAGGTTGAACTCCTGAATCTGAGTGAGGGGCTTACGCGTTTTCTCGGGAACTGGAATAGGGTCCCTGCAATCGCAGCTGATAACGAATATGAATATCAGAATTGAAGATAAGCTCAAACAAAACTCAAACATCCTTTTGCATTTTCCAAGATAAATCTAGGCTGGATTTCCTACTCTTTTAAGACAGGTTGTGCTTTGAATATTCTCATCATGGCCTCTTCCTTCTCTAATCTTTGCCTTTCTTCCATCTCTCTCTGTATTTCATGTTCATGCCTCACCAGACTCACTAATTGAAAAGGTTCTGGTCTTGTGCACTGTTTGGGATCTGGTTTGGGAGGAATCTACACGGATAAATGCACTTCTGATTAGTTAAGGAATTTTGATTGTAACATCACACTATCACATTACTGAGAGAGAATTGGCAATTGCATACCACAGGGTAATCAGTAGTGTAGGGATAAGGGTTTGCTTTTGGAAGTCTGGCCCTTTCTTCCTCAATCTGTTTCTGCAGAAGTTCTCCAAACAACCTTCTTTCTTTCTCTGCCCCTCTCTCCTGTGAATTCAATAAAACAAAAGTTGTTCTTAATAGTTTTATACGCATGAGGGTCAGTTTAGAACCTCGAAAATACTAGGGAAAAGAATGAGGAAATTTGTGAACTTATTTTCTTTCACAGGCATTTTAGATTGTCAAGTCATTTAACAAACATAAACCATGTTTCAATTTTCCTTTCACTGACATTTTCTGTGATCCAACAAACACTTTCAAGTTTTGTATAAGAGTATAATCTTCTTGAGATTCAAACATGTCCATTTTGTTGGGACTGCGCGTGCCCTCACCCCAACCCCGCATTAGTATGATATTGTCCGCTCTGGGCCAAGCCCTCACGGATTTGTTTTTGGACACCTCCCAAAAGGCCTCGTACTAATCGGGTTGGGTGAACCTAATTATTTTGGTTCATTTACTCGTATACTTCCGGTGTGGGACTTGGAGGAATCCCAACACATTTTTCTTTACATTTGCAAATTGAAATCAAATCATAGTAAAACAAGAAAACATTTTTTGGGATAATTGTTTGCTTTCCCTAGTACGTGATCCAAACATAACCTAAAATCATGAAGAAAATCACATGCATACCTCTGTGTGTAGATGGAAAGGATTTGGCATGGTATTTCTAGGAACATATTTGTCATTATGAGGTTCTGAGTTCAGTGACAGCTGAAAATTCATTAACGATAAATAAACTTCATTAACAAACTAAACTAGTTCCCATGAAAGAGATAAAACTGTTTCTGCCAACCTTGTCAAATATATCAGCAACATTTGCTGGTGTTGGTGGGATCCTTTCATCTGTAGCAAAGTGAAACTCTTCTGGCACAGTCACCTGCCTCTTTGTGTTGCAAAATACCCCAACATCCCCTTTACTTTCAAAGATCTATGTGGATTAAACAGAAAAAGGAAAAGCTTAACAAACTTTTTGAAACAACAATATTGTGGTAAATGGTGTGTATTTGATTTCTGGAATACCTTCTTATTCAATGGTCTTGCCTTGAACTTGGGAACTTTTTCAAGTTCTGCGATTTCGAGTTCTTCAGAAGTTTTTATCTTAGGAGGCCGTGCCCGCATCATGGTTTGGAGAATGGGTGATTTGGGAGCTTTAGGATGTGGTGGCTTCGATTGACGACACTGCATACAATTCAAGTATGGATTATGTATTGCCCACCAGTCATGCAACACAATTTCATGCATTTAACCAAGTAAAATAAGGTGGCTTTACTCAAGTGTTGACAACATGCGGGTAATGCAGGTACCTGATTGTTGAGTTCTGCCGAAGCCACGCTAGATGTGTCTGCATTTTGATTGGCCCTTGCCATTGTTTCAAGGTGAAACTCCTGAAGAAGGAAATTGACATTTATATTACAAACTGTTAAAGTCAATGCAATCTCAAATCAGTGTCCAGCACTTTGGCTACCTTAAACTCTGGAAGTTGGGGTGCAGTCTTTGGACATTCTGGTAAGCAAGGAGCTTCAAACATCTGTAGGAAAGAACATATTCAGACATTAGACGATACAAAGGAGGGAGGGATTATTATTTTTTTTTTTTTGGGGGGGGGGGGGGGGGGGNCGAGCCTTAAACTTGGGAATTTTTGCCATCATTTCTTCCTCTAACTCCGCCGAACTCTTTAGTTTTACAGGACGGTAACGATGGGATGTTTCAAGTTCAGGTTCTTTAGGCCTTGTAAGTGTAAGCTTAGGCTTCCTTTGCACTGATCCAGCCACACCATCCTGATTTTTTTACAAAGAATTAATGAAAACTGTACACCAGAAAACGCTTAGACACACATTCATGAGTATAATGTATTTTTACTTGTGGCATTACACAACTCGTGTGTGGCAGTGACATGTCCCTAGTATTGGACTGGAACTTGTTCATCATTTCCGCCATTGAAACAAATGGGGCCACTGGTTCTCGAACATAAATCTGACATACAGAAATTCAAATATGCATCAGAGTTTCAGAATAATTGTCCATACATATGTCATGCTAGAGAGGGAAAAATTTATTACAAATAAAAGGAGAGGGAAAACTAACCTTTCTGTTTTCTCTGCATGAAGTAGCAGTATGAGGATGTGCTTTGATATTGCTGCTAGGCATACCGGGTCTTGACTTGTGAGGCAAGTTTAGGGGTTTGATGTTTAGGATCTAAGGAAATGTGAGAACAAATAGAACAGACTGGATTAGGAACATAAGAACATTGGGGGAAAAGGCTTGCGCAAGGTAAGCATTCTTAGAGCCCACACCTGTCTAGATTTCCCCCCTTCCAGTTTTTGCCTCTTTATAGCTTGATTTTCTTGAACAAAATTTGGAGTCTCTGAAGTCATTTTCATGTTTGTGTTCCTGTGCAAGAATGTAAATTGATATATAATCAGCATTCAACATACAACAAACAAAGAAGCTAGGAGAGCAAATATAAACTAAGAAGCATTGATTCAAACCTTCTTGCGCTAACTGGATTGATACTTTTCATCTGTGATTGGGTCTTTGACTTTAATACAGAAGGATTCCTAATAATGCTTGCTATCTTCTTGGCCGACAGGAGCTTCTCCGCATCACTCTGCTGAACTGCCTTCCGAGAAGTTGCTTTAGGTGGTAGAGGTGTGCATGCTCCTGCATCAAGTAATCCCAGGAGTTAGTCAAGTGATCTCACAAGCCTCTACACATGTTGACAGACAAAATGTGGAACATACCTTGTAGAGAGGATGGCTTCTCTGGAACAACAACAGGCTGCGTGTCACATGGTGCCTGCGAATTGAATTGTTGAGATGTAATGAGAAAAGTCGTAAACCGAAGAACATCAATGGAATACTTAAAGGATGGAGCATAACATCATACCAAATCAGGTTCTTTAACTACAAGATGATCAGCCATTTCTTCCTGAAGTTGAACTGGTTCAGGCTCAAATTGAGTCCTGGTTCACACAGGTCAAGTACACTTCAGTCAAAATTCATTTTACTTATACATTTTGCTTGGATTCTACTCTATAACGGAAACTGACCTCGTTTGGTCTGTTGGCACCAATCCTGTTTCACTTGGAGTGTGTGCGGATGCGACAGAAGATGACAGTGAATCTTGGCCCTGAATTTTTGTTTTTTTTTGAAAATGAGTCAGTTGATTCTTGCATTTGAGTTGAAATGCAGAACTAAGGTACAAGTAAAGACATGAATCATAGTGTACAATCCTAATTCTACCTTCTTCATCTCTTCTCCTTCAGTCAAATCACACAGACTCTCAAGCTTGGCGAATCTATTTGCCTTTATCCTCGGCATCAAAGCTGAAAAATTTGACAGCCAAAATAAAAAATCAATCCCAAAAACTAACATAACAGCACACAAGAAATTGAAGATGCATAGCCCTAAAATCAGACATAGAAATATCTCTCAATCCCTAAATTCATGAATCCAGCGCAGAAACATGTCAAGGAAATCCGTTGAATCCCTCAAACCCTAAATTCAACCACACACGAAGTTCGGAATTGAAACTTAACGTAAAAAATAAATAACAATCAAACCAGACGAGTGAGAACATACGAGAAGGAGCATAGCTGCGTGCGGATTCGAACCAAAGTTCCGCCTTTTCAGCGTCCTCTCCAGTCTCGCCGCGGACGAAGTCATAGAACCGAGGAGCGGAGAACTCGTACGCCTCATCCACCACCAAAACACTCGGATCTTCCTCCCCCGCCATCGATGAATATAGATATTATATATATCTCCGATCAGAAGAGAAACTGCCTGAGAATTGAAGGCTATATATTATTGGTTAGTGTAAGAATGAACGGGGAGACGTTTGATTGTCTGTTGGTTTGGGAGTTTTCCGGGTATGAGGAATTGCAAGAAATACTGGTTTTTGTCTCTCTATAGAAAAGCATTAACGTTTAGATTTCTGGATAACGGTCGGATTTTTTGAAAGGGTGTGGGGACTTTGTTAACGGCTAGACTGGAGGGAGGTGTGTACTGCCATGTTCATTTCTGGAGCACGCAAATGAATGAAATTATGCAGGCACCAAATTGGGCTGATTATTTAGTCGGGCCTGAAAGATTTTCTGGGCCAGAATTCGTCTTAGTAATAAACTAAAAAAGTTAGATGATCCAATATCAATAGCATCGCGTGTATACATGGCAAAACGGACCCAGATTCGATAACCTAAACCGAAACACATAGAATCAAACACTAAACAACTCCAAAATTGAAAACTCGAACACCCAAAATGATTCGAACTGAACTAAAACAAAACCAAATGTATTCAGATCCGATTGAACCTAAACCGATTAAACCCGGAATCGATTAGACCAAAAACCCATTAGCCCTAGACTTGGAAAAACATACTTAGAACCGATTGATCCAAAACAGAAACCGAATGATCCGAAAAGTGAAGATCTGATTTATAACCGAATAATCGAATTGATGATCCGAACAAAATCGAAATCGAACTAAATATATCCATATTTGATTTAAACCCAAAACTTATTAGATCCCAATCTGATTAGACCCAGAACCGGTTAAATTTGAAACCAATAAGACCCGAAATCGGTAAGACCTGAAATCGAATATATCTCAAATTGATTCTATCCAAAATTGATTCTTCCTGACAATTAAGCATGTTATGTTTATGTTTATGTACATTAGTGAGCAATTACATTAATATGGTTTCAAATTTTTATTTTACCATTTAAAATATTTATATACTTATAAAACTTACTCCTTATATCCAAAATTAATTATCATATCTAAACAAAATGTACAATTTCATGTGTTTTAATTTTTTTTATAAATTGCTCTAAAAATAAATAATACAACTTACATAAAAATGATATTTAAAATTTATACAAGCTAGAGCATGACTAAAAATAGTTTTTTTCACTCTCCTCTCATGCAATACTGTGTGATTGCCCAAACATGTGCTATCCAATTAGATTAATTTTAAATTAGAACTAAATATATTTTTCTTTCATAATTTGTAATCCAAGTTTATAAAAGATGACTAAAAAGATAAAATTAAAAGATATTTAGAACGAAGGATGTACCAATTAATACGAGTATGAGATAATGAATTAATGATAGATTGATAAATGCGATATGAAAAAAATGAACAGATACTTAAATTTTAATTCATAAATAACATATATGCAAACATATCTGAAGTGGAAATATACCCAAACTGAAATATATAAGAATCGAAATATTTCTGAACTGGAATGTATATGAAAGTGAAATTGATCTGAACCGATTGACATCCGAACCGATCTAGAATCGAGCTAAAACCGAAAAATGTATGGAACCGAATTAAGTCCAAACCAAAATTAAATCGAATCGATCTGAATCGAACCATTATAGCATATATATGAAAGATATGTAAACTGAAATATTCCAAACCGGAACCGATCTAGTTGGTCCAATTACCACCTCTAATTAGGGGAATGACCCGGTCTATTGCCTTATTGGAAAATTAGACTAAATTCTTAGTTGGGTCGACCTTGGGTCTGTACTCATTCTCGAGAGGGTGTGTACTTCATATTGATACAACTTGATAAAACTAATATTTTAGAGACGGATACATTTTCCTCAGATACTATGATACAATCTAATAATATCATTGACTTTATTAAATTGTGATGATCCCGTCACTGTATATACGAATTACCTAGAAATTTTTAATTAAAGCAAAAATAGTAAATGGGTAGAAAAATAAAATACGATAACAACACAATATGAAAAGTAATATATCTCTTATTGCATCCCATGAAAAAATATTTTTAAGGTTAAGTCTTTAAACTCTGTCTAAAAAATATTTTAAAAAATACATTGAATAGTTATATATATTTAATATCAAGCAGTTAATTTTGAAATATAGTTTTGAAATGGACCAAAGGAATATTCATTATTATATACGATACTTGTAGACCTAACAAAAATTGACCTAACATGTTTTATACCCGATAAACCTAAAAATATTCGGTTTTGAACATATATTTTGTTCACTGAACTTGAAATGACTCACTAAACACGGGTCAAACCTGAACTCGACCTGCTAAAAGATGCGGGTTTTACTAAGGTTCGAGTCTAAACTCAATCAATTGACAGCCTTTCCAAAGTTCTATTTGATAAGCAAAGAAGACATTAGTTTTAATATATAATTATAAGTATGAGAACCCTTTTATGATTATAGATCTAAATAAGTTTTAGATTTGATAAATTGATATATTAAATAAAACTCCATAATTAGAGCATTTTGATTGGTATCTCTGAGTCAGTGTTTAACATCCCTTCAACTGCAGGCCATCTTACCATCGATTTCCAATACTGTTGACCACTTGATGCCAAACGACCCCATCGTCAGGCTATCATGTACGGTAATCATTTCAAAATCCCTCTAAATAATTTTAGATAGTATTTTGGGTAATAAAATTTTTTAATTCTATCATTGTATTTCAATTCTAAAAGTTAAATTATTGAATATTAAATGAGAAGGGTAAACATGAATTTGAAATTAAGCTTTCTGATCAAATACATGCATTTGACTCGAATCCAAATCTTAAATCATCATATTATCATACACACAACTTGAATTAAATTTATATTTGAAATCCAATTTCAAATTTCCACACAAACGATATTTTTCTAAGAGTGCGTCTGATTGGGGGAAATATTTCTAAAAAATTTTGATTTCATTTCCCCTGTTTGGTATAAATAGTAGGAAAACATATTTTCAAGAAAAATATTTATCTTCGATCAAAGGAAAAATAATTTTCGTTTGTTTTTAAAAAAAAATTTCTCACTCCCTAGAGCCGTTCGCTATCCCCAACTCTAACCCCCACCCCTCCAACCCAGCCTCCCCCTGTCAACCCCCACCATGCCACCCCCACTCCCTCACCCCGCCTACCATGCTATCTTCCATCCACACTCACCCCGCTTGTGAGTCTCCCACCCCATGCACCCAAGCCCTTGTCATTGTCCACCACCCAGTTGTATTTTGTCATTTGCTAATCTGTGTCATTTGTCTCTATCCGATTCTTGAGCTAATAATCATATATTACCTGTCTTGTTATTTTTAAAATAATTTAAAATTATTATTAAAAGTTTAAACATATTTTAAATATGAGTTTTAAAATCTTAACAAACCTTTGTATCAAACAATGAAAACACTTTTGACAAAAAAAACAATTTGGGCAAACAAAATTCTTGAAGATCCTTTTGTTCCGGAACCCACAACTCTTCCTAAACTCACGGCCCTCATTAAAGTTTGAAGTTTGAACGGAAATTTGAAAAGCTGATTTTCCTGCTAAATTCTTCCGATGCGACCAACAAAAGGAGAAGAAGAAGATAGACAGACAGTCTCAACTCACAGTCTATAAATTTGAGCTAAATTTCTGCAATGTATCGATTCTTCCCCTTCTTTCCTCTATTTTCGCTTACAATTCCAAAAGGTCTCTGCAATGGAGTCTTCCCCATCGCTCTCATCCACGGAGAAGTTCAATTTCCGGACCAAAGTCCTAAGCGGACACCTAAACCAACACGGCAGCGACAACAGCAACAGCGGCCCTTCGATCCTCCGATCCTCTCCGTGCCTCAGCTACGCGCCGCCGGAGCTCTCTGAGGAGCCTGCGGCGTTCGACGTGTCCGCGATGCGGAAGCTTCTGGACGGCCACAACTTGGAGGACAGGGATTGGCTGTACGGCATGATGATCCAGAGCGAGCTTTTCAATCCGGTTGTTAGGGGTGGGAAGGTGTTTGTTGGCGTGGATTTCAACCATCCAATGGAGAAGCAGAGGGAGTTAACGATGAGGAGAATTGAGTATCTTTTGGAAATTGGGGTTTTTAGGGGATTGCTTACAGATAATGGGCCTGAGGCTGAGCTCAGGAAGTTGGCTTTGCTTGAAGTTACTTCCCTTTTCGATCACTCTCTCAGTGTCAAACTTGGGGTTCATTTCTTGCTCTGGTGTGTTTAAATTCCTTTCTTTCTGCAATTCTTCTCTTCCATGCTTTTGTATGTTCTCATTTGGATCAAGTTTTAATTTTGATTTTTGTGGGCTGAGTTTAGAAGAAACATTGCCTGTAATTTGCATTACTAATATGTGGAGTTAAAATGTGAAATTCATGGAGTCTATCAAGATTGATTTAAAATATAGTTTCAACATGTCATGCATTTCCAATATTTATTTCGTGGCAGGGGCGGAGCAATCCAATTTTTGGGAACAAAGCGCCATCATGACCAGTGGTTGAAGGACAGTGAAAATTTTCTAGTCAAAGGTTGCTTTTCGATGACAGAGTTAGGACATGGAAGCAATGTGGGTGATGATAGTGGCTCAGAATCTTCATGTAGTCAGTGTTGATTAATCTAAATCAAGCATTACATTCCTAGATATTGATATTATGCTTCCTCTGTGGTTTGCCAGGTTCGTGGTATCGAAACAGTCACAACTTATGATCAAAGTACAGGAGAGTTTGTTATAAAGACTCCTTGCGAGTCTGCTCAGAAGTACTGGATTGGAGGAGCTGCCAATGTAACATTTTATTTTTATCTAATTTTTGTTCTGCTAGCTTTTTGGATCAATTTGTTCTGATCTTCAGTGTTCTATTTCGAACTTCAAAATGATATGATATGAAAACAGGTTTTAAAATTGTCAGGAAGGAAACTTTGGGGGAAGATTTAGTGAATTTCTTTTAGATATATGTTCAAAATTCAAACTCTGTTATTTGTCATTATATAAACACTTAGAAATCCAAATAAGATTATTTTTTAAATCATACGGTGTATTTCATTTTTTCCTCGCCATTTTAGCATTTGTGTCATTTCCACTGTCATCTTCTAGGAAGCAAAAATAACATAAGGGCATTTGTTTGTAATGCATTAATACGTGCTCCTCTTAATCCTGTTGTAGCATGCCACACACACTATAGTTCTTTCACAACTCATCATTGGTGGGAAAAATCAAGGGGTCCATGCATTCATTGCGGAGATAAGAGACTCGAATGGTAACATTCGTCCCAACATTCGTATAGCTGACTGTGGCCACAAGATTGGTTTGAATGGAGTTGACAACGGCCGGATCTGGTACCTAGTTTATAATTGTTTACTCTTATGTTTCTGTTTCAATGTTCATGTTTTGAAAATTTTATGATTTTATTTATCCAGGTTTGATAATCTTCGCGTGCCTAGGGAGAATTTGTTGAATTTAGTTGCTGATGTTTCCTCAGATGGGGAATACATTACTGCAATTGAGGACCCTGACCAAGTAACTAAAATTCTTCTAAACATCAATACTAAACTATTGTATTTCTTTAATCATTTCTTACTGTATTTCATTTCTTTGCCAAGTTCAGTTATCAAGGAGTCCTTTTAAATATTTGTGGATTTGCATCATTATCCTTTGCTTAAGTTCCATATCTCGATGTTCCTTTATTTTGCTTGAACAAACATGATTTAAGATTGTACTTATATTTCAGCGCTTTGGAGCATTTATGGCCCCATTGACAACTGGGCGAGTAACAATACCAACAGTTGTAACTTATGCTGCAAAGGTAAACAATTGTCTATTTTATCTTTTTTCCTTTTTTGTATTTTGAGGGAGTGACAGCGAGGAGCTCTTCTATAACAACACTTCTTTACTCTAATAGGTAGGAATAGCTACTGCTATAAGATACTCTTTAACAAGGAGAGCATTTTCTATCACACCCAATGGTCCTGAAGTTTTATTGCTTGATTACCCAAGTCATCAAAGACGCCTATTGCCTCTTCTTGCAAAGACGTAACCGTTTCATCTACTTCTTCCCAGCCTTTTTTTGTTTGGACTGGTTTTTATTCCCATGGAATTTGGCTATTTCTGTTTTATTCTGTGTTCTTGTGCTGCAGATATGCCATGAGTTTTTCTGCTATCTCTTTGAAAATGATGTACGTAAAAAGGACACCTGAAGTGAACAAAACTCTGCATGTCGTTTCAAGTGCTTTTAAGGCCACCTTAAGCTGGCATAACATGCGAACACTTCAGGTATAATAAATCCTTATCTGCGAAAATATGGTTTGTTGATTTTATTTATTTTAACAGATTTCATTTTATGGATTGAATTAGGAATGTAGAGAAGCTTGTGGAGGCCAAGGCCTTAAAAGTGAGAATCGCATCGGCCAATTGAAGAGTGACTATGATGTAAACTCTACTTTTGAGGGTGACAACAATGTTCTCATGCAACAGGTGTGTAACTGAATGTAACATACACCATGCAGCATTTCATTGTTTTTTTTTTCATTCAAAGTTTATTGTACCAGTCACATAATTTCTCATGATTTCTACATGTTATGATTAAGAGTTTAAGTTCATAGTTTGATTTTGTGGGGCCAGGTGAGCAAGGCACTTCTGTCAGTATATGTTGCATGCAAGAGAAAGGGAATCCCATTTGAAGGGTTGGGATTGGAACACATGAATGGACCTTCTCCATTAATACCATCTAAGCTTTCAAGTGACATCTTAAGGAGCACCCAGTTCCAGGTAACTCACTTTCCGGTTTTGTGTCATAGGGAAATAAAACATTTTATCATATGAAGTCTTGTTCATTTTTTTCAGAATGACATCTTTTGCCTGAGAGAGCGTGAACTTTTGACCCGCTTTGCTGCTGAAGTGTCACAACACCAAGCACGCGGTGAAAGCAAAGAAAATGCTCTTATGTTGGTAAGTTAGTCAGTTGCTTACATTTACTAGGGGCTGTATTTTTATTTTAGGGCTTGGAATCTGCATATACCTCATTTACTGTGGGTGTATGGTGTGTTTAACAACTCCAAAATGTTTTTTGATATTCTCTTATCCAGAGTTACCAGATTGCAGCAGACTTGGGCAAAGCCTTCGCAGACCTGGCAATTTACCGTGCATTCTTAGAAGCCGAGGCTTCTGTGATACCTGGTCCGCTAAAGGTACTTTTAAATGACAGTGTTGCCCACCCCCCAGAAAAATCTATCATTTTATTTTCGCCCAATACGGTTAGTGATAATTAAGAACTTCAAATAGATAAGCACATACAGGTCTTAAGTGAATATGGGTAGTTTTGTCAATTTATGTTTTGGTTGCCAACTACATTGCAGAACATACTTGGCCTTGTGAGATCAATGTACGTTACGGTTAGTTTGGACGAGGATGCTGCTTTCCTGAGATACGGATGCATAACGCCAGAGAATGCCGCCACTGCAGTTAGGGATGAAATCTCAACACTCTGCAGAGAGCTAAGGCCACATGCCCTTGCTTTGGTCACTTCTTTTGGCATACCTGATGCCTTCTTGAGCCCCTTGGCTTTCAATTGGGTTGACGCAAATGCTTGGTCTTAGCATGGTTTCAAGTGAATATGGGTTTTGTCAATTTATGATTTGGTCATAGCCTGTTACATTAAGGCCACCTTACTACACATTCTATGAAAAACTTCGCTTGTGTCTGCTTTCTGTTTAATTATTACTCGAGTACTAAATAAATTTCTTATCAGATTATGTTCTTTTCTATGGCATTTAATATAGGGACTGGTTATGCCAAACGGATCATCAAAATAAACGAAGAAAAACACATCCACACTTTTACCAAACGAATCATCAGAATAAAGTAGTAATCATTCAAGCACTCTAATTTCAGAATAATGCAGAAATCATTCCACACTTGACAGTGATAAATCTCAATCCCATACAAAGTATGCAAAAAGTAAACAGGAAACTTAAATGGACAAATGACAGAAATCCTTAAACACCATGATTAACAACTGTTTGCCATCGTCACCTGGGATTATTATTACAGACTTATGAATGGGCTATCCACCCGGTGAGAATTCTACCTTCAGTTCACTATAATTTATAAACTGTTCATTGCTGTTCGGAGGGAATGGCCATTGATCAAGATTTTGCTAGGATTTACCTCGGAGAAGATTGTCCCCATCCTCATTGGTAAATGCAGCTTGGCTTAACCAAAATCTGCATGAAAACATGTGCCAAACGGAAGGAGATGAACTTATAGGGGTTAAGTGATTCTAGCAAACTAACTGGCATTATGAATACATTACACCCAGTTCATGATATCGGTCCTGACAACTGGAGATTAAGGTGTTGACTATGATGCCCACACTTAATTTTTTTGCCCACATTAACACTACAATCCTTGGGAGCATTAAATGACATCATTATTTATCGATTATCAAATTTGCCGCGAATCCATAATCATTTTTTATCATTCAAAACAAGGTTTTATCAGTATGAAACTCTCATAATCATAGTAAAAAAAATCATTTTTCCATGTTTCTTTATCAAGAAAAGTATCCATAACAAGTTGAGAGACTGTTAGTTTTTTTCAAGTCCGCTTTAATGTTTTTAATTGTATCTCACTAAGTAAGAATGGAATTAATTACATGCAAGGTATGAGCTACCTGAGAATAGATAAAAAAAGATTACATCTTTTGTCCAAAAATGTTCTTTTTCTTTAAGCATTTAAACTTATAGCAATATATCTGATACTGTACAAGATATGCAAATTTTGGTAGCTCTTTTATTCAAGTACATAAATGTATACTTGAACTTAAAATGGGGGTAAAAATCATATTTATTCAATAAAAATATCAAAGGACACCAAAGAAGCTAGAATATGAAGATATGATTATACCATTGGATGCCACCACCATCATCCACTTGATCTGGGCCGAGCTCCGCTCGAACGAGGCCTGTTCATGGAGATTACAGGCTCACCTTCACCGCCTGGGCCCATCCTCTCATACCCTCCCCCTGATTTGGGCCTCCCGTTCTCCGGCCCTGTATGGAGCAGCCCACCTGCGAACTCACCTCTCCCTCTCCCTTTCTGAAAATCCGTCACGAGCTTCTCCTCCCGGCCCACAAATCCAGGTCTAAGATGCGGCGGCACAAAGCGGTCGGACTTGGGCAACGGAGACTGCAGTGGCGACGACGGTTTCCCCGGCGAAGATAAAGAGTTCGATGAAATTACCGGACCCGACCCGGTTCTACCCCGCGGCCGAAGAGAAATCGAGTCCGAATCGGATGGGGATTTCTCCGGAGGGCTCTGAAATTCGTGGTTCTGTTCGATTGGGATGGTCTGCGGCTGAGGCATGGAGATCGGTTTGGGCGTGGGACGGCTCATGACGAGCATATGGCCATGGATTCGAGAGTTTGAGATAATAGTCGGAGATGAGGAAGAAGAAGAGTGAGGTCTATGGGCGGCAGCGGCGGAGGAGGAGCTGGATTTCTTCTCGTAGATGTCGTTGAAGTTAAGGGAGGCGTATTTATTGCTTCTTGCCATCCACCGCCGTCGTTAACGCCACCGCCACAGCCACCGTCTGATGAAGGAATAGATGAGATACGATTGGATCGCCTGAGTTTGGGCAAGAGAATGATAAAAAATACCACCATGCTAGATTGCTAGGGGTAAGTGTATCCCAAACTCTATACAATATTTTTGTGTCACCCACAAAAAATTAATACTAATATTTTGTGTTAATGTAAACCGTCAAACTCATACAAAATAAAAATTTATATCTATAACATATAATTTAAAATATAAAGACTTTCGAGTTAAAGAGAGGGAGAAAGCGAATGTTTAAGAAGATGGTCAGATACAAAAAACATCAACTTCATCCTCATGTAGCATAAAAGCACCGGAAATGGGCTTAACGCCCACTGTGTCAAACGCGGTTTTAACCCTAGAATAGCGTTAAGCACCGCCCCCTCACCCGTCATCCCGGTGTTATCTCCATTGCGTTAAACATTTGACGCAACTGAGAATTTGAAACGTTGGCCATACGACCGTCCCCTTTCTAATCGTCCAAATTATGGCCGTTGGTCTAAATAAAAAATTATCTTTTTATATTTTTAAGAAAAACTTATCTTTCAGAAGTGAAAAAATAATCTAAAATAGCAAATACTCCGAAGCATAATATAAATATGCATTATGTTAAAAATTTTAATAAATATGTGTGCAATTTTATACTCTCGATAATGTGTGTGTGTGTGTGTGCGCGTGTGTGTGTATAGGATAATAAATATAATAAAAAGAATAAATAATTAGTACATCCAAATCAGAAGATCAGATATAAATTACTCGTAATTAATTTGGTATCCATTTATTAATTGATTTTTTTGAAGGATTTGAAATTTATTTAATCAAATACAAATATCATAATTTTTAGGAAAAATTATTCATCCAACTTTATACGGTATTTAAAAAATAATGGAACTTTTCATTTTCATGCATAATAATCTCAACTTTAATGAAATTTGCGAGATTTAGATCGTCGTTAAGTTACTAAATGTGGCTTTACGGAAACGGCCTATTTTGCACAACAAAATGAAAGTTGAGTTTTTTTTTCAAAAATTTCATATAACTTTTTATAATTTCTCTCGATCATTTTTTTTATTTTTTAAAGGTTAGTCTTACTTAAAAAGATAGATATAAAAAATAACAAAAATGAGATAAATAACGAAACCATACAAAATTAATGACATAGGTAAGTTAATTATCAATAGTAATTAACACAAACTTGGTAACAAAATAAAATAAAAATATATTGAGCAGTGAGTTTTAACATTTTACGCAATATGCAGAGTATTGATATACCACTTCTTTGATTCTTAGTTTTGGGAAAAATTATCTAGAATAATCCCAACACTACCTGTTCTTTCACAAAGTTATTAGTAGTACATTAATACTTTGTATGATGCGTAAATTGTTAGAACCATCCACTTGTATTTATATTTTATTTCTTACTAATTTTAGCTTAATTTTTATTGATTACCTTATTTATATTCTTAATTTTAAAAAAAAGGATCAAAATAAGAGTAAAACATGAATTAAAACCCAAAATAAGAGTTGAAAGATAAATTTCTAAAACAAGAGTTAATGGCCATCACCGTAAAATATGCTAGTACTAGAAAACTCACATGTACAATCCTCACACGCGCCGCTCCTTTAATTTTGCTCATCTGATGTCTTGCTCTGCTACCGATCTAGTCCCCATTATGTTTGAATATGCAAGGAGACTTGAGGTGCAAAAGCATCCACTTAGCAGACCGGGAACAACCACCATAGTTTCCAGCATCACAGAGAGATCACACTTGCCACCGCTGCTGTCAAAAATCACCATTGCTGCTATTGATTTTTAGCTGTCACCAATTATATCAGTGCTCCCTACCATTTTTCCCACACTAACATAATAATTTCCAATATTGTTGTTGCAGCGTCACATTTATTGTCAATTTAGTATCAAAGAAAGACAAACATGATGTCATATAATGCCACACATAATAATACATAATGCAACAATGTAAATTCACAAACATAATGCCAAAAAACATCGAATGCCAAAGAAATGCGTAATGGCAAACATGATACCACATAAAAATACATGACTATATCTAATGTCGTCAAAGAAATGCATAATGACAAATATGACACCACACAATGTCATACATGACAATATATAATGGCACAAGTGCCCGCATATAATGCCACGATATGAATTCACATATGTCACAAAGCATGATGCCAACTTAAATCCAATGCCTGGCTCGAGTTTTTTTTTTTGTGACAAAAATCAAATAAAATAAATTTCAATCAAAGATCAAGAGAGAACTTACTCATTTTTTGAAATCAGGTTTTGAGAGAGGAAGATGGAGGTGGAAAGGCTAGAGATCGGTGCAACGGTGAATTTGAGAGGCGTGGGGCATGGCAGCGGCGATTGAGTTGCGGGAGCGGCAACGGCAATTATAATCAATTGACAACAAGGTGTGGGTGGTGGAAGAGAGATCTGATATGGGTGGGGTGCATGACAGCGACAACAAGTTTGAGATGGGGGGGGTGCGACGGCGGATGTGATGACAGTGTGATTTCGTGATGGTAACGACGATTGAAAAAATAGTGGCTGCGCAAAGAAAATATTTGGCGTGAGAAAATGAAGTGTGTGACCACATTTTGTAATCTAGGTCTTATTTATGTGAGTTTATGTTTGAGATCCTACTTTGAAAATATGATACACGTTTTACTTCTATTTAGAAAGTTTTCTTTAATTTTGTAGTTTAATTATTTTTACATCTATTTTTTAAGTTTTTTTCTAAGGAAGGACTAATCTTTAAAAAAAGAAAAATGGAGGTAGAAAGACATTTTAAAAATTTAAATGAAAATAAAAAAAAAGATATTCATAAAATTTAATTACAAATTTTATTTTGTTGTGCAAAACATACCGTTTTTGTAAACCCACTGTTACAACTTAATAACGACTCAAAATCGCAAATTTTATGGTGGACCTAAGGTCCACCATGAACCTACGTATGACTCAAATAAGTAATTTTTACAACTTAGATGAGTATTTAAAAAAAATGATAAAATAAAAAAAGAATTTTTATCTGAAAAAAATTTATAAAAAGAATAAGCACTCAAGGTGCACCATAGAAATCATTCTCTCAAAATTTCCAAATTTTAATAAAGATGAGATAAAGATGTGATTATTTATGAATTTTTTGTTATTTATTTAAGTTTAAGTGACAAATTTCCAAATTTCAATAAAGATGAGATTATTTTTAAATATTTTTGTTAAGGATTATTTATTTAAGTTTAAGGGGCCCCTCCCGCACTCTTCATTCCTAAGACCCGTCTCACCCGGAGTACTCCGTATATAACTAGGGTTTTTCCTCTTTTGTTTGGAAAGCATCATCAATCTATCAAATTCTATCAATCTAGGACTCCGCATTGAATTTCAATCTTCCCAGATTCAGGCCAGTAGCCGAGTTTTTACGAAGCCATGGGAGCAATGACGCCTGATCCAAACGCCGGGACCGCCGGAGGAGAGAAGCCTGCCAGAGAGGAGGCCACTGTCAAAGTTCCGGCCAAGGACCCTAAGAAGAAGGACACCAAGAAAGATGAAGATCTCGTAAGTTTTTTATTCACTTAACACAATTGTGAGTTGTGCTAGAGTACTGTTGCTTTAGCTGTAATAGCTGAGAGATGGGGTCTTCTGCTCTTTCTTCTCTAGCGAAAGATGAGTTTTTTCGTGTTATTTAACTCTTACGTGTACTAGAAAAGCTCACAGCGGGAAGGCAGGGATGTTTGTCTGCACAATTTGCAGAGTAATTTGTTATCTTTAGTCTCAAATTTTTATTTTTATTTTTTTAATCTGTTTCAGTCTGAGGAGGATCTGGCACTCAAAGAACAACTGGAGTTGTATGTAGAGAGAATTAAAGATCCTGATACAGGGGTGCAGAAGCTTGCCTTAGAGAGCATGAGGTAAATCGTTTTCCCCTCAAATATGCAATTTTGCATTAATCTGGGATGATATTAGTATGAAGCTATAATCACTTCTGGATTTTACTTGAAATTGGCAAAATTCATTTGTTGAGGAGTGCACGTTGCACATCAGTGATTTCAAAGTTTGTTCTATTTTAGCAAAAACAACAGACCTAGTATAATCCCAACCCCATTGGAGGTTGCAATTCAAGAAGTATGGAACCTTACCCCTTTTGATATCAACACCATAGACTAAAGTTCTAGACAAATGTAGTTCTGTAATTTGTGTACTTGGATTCTGCAATTAATTTGTAACTTCATTCTTGAAGAATGTGAGATAAAAATGTTGATATCATACTACAATGGCTGATTGAAATCCTACATAAGATCTGCCTTGATAGGACAGTTTGGTTTTTGTGAGAGGAAGCAACAAGGTATAGACGCTTTACACAAAGTTTTTAAAGAGATGAGCTCTTGCTCTGCCATATTAAAATCCAAACACCTTTTGAGTCTGAGTTGTATGCTACATTGCAATTATTTTTTGATGATGATCCCTAGACAGCTGCAGTCAAAATTTCATATACAAAGCCTTCATAGTTTTCGTCTCTTGTTGTCACCATGGGCTAGCTTTTTCATTTCCATATCCGGGACATTGGAAACTGTTTAGTTGCCCAACACCCTTCTTTGGACTCAAAGCACGTATATCAGCATATATTGGAGAGAGGATTATTTTGGAAATTGCACACCTATCCCCCCTGCTTATGCTCACTGCCACTCTGCCACAGTGCTCACTTCCAAGTTTCCCACAGACATTAACTAGAGTCTTGGTGCTTCCAACTCACTGTTGACCCTCTAGCTAGAGTCTTGGTGCTTCCAACTCACTGTTGACCCTTTCACCATTATGGGTTACTTGTGCTGCCTGAATGTTTGTCATAATGTCACACACACACACACGCACACAAGCTCACTGCCAAGTGTCCCACAAACATTAACTAGAGCCTCAGTGCTCTCGTCTCACTGATGAGTCTCCCACAAATCCATAATTATGTGTTATTTCACTCATGTTGCCTCTTCCTCACGCGCACGCTCAATGCCAAGTGTCCCACAAACATAAACTAAGGTTTTGGTGCCCCTGACTACAGAACTATGTGTTACTTCACATGTTACACTGTTGCTTGAATGTTGCCATAAAGTCTCTCTCACACACAAGGCATTTTTTTAAATTATGTGATGTTCAAATAAACTATTTTATGGTTTTATGTTGTTTTTGTTCGGACTTTAAATATAAAGGTTCTTGAGTTGTAATGCATATTTACTATATTTTCAGTTACTCCTTATTTTAATTCTATTTTGTAATTATTCTTTTAAATTTTTTATTAAAGTTGAGGCTTACAACTCAATGCACTACGCCACTATGAGTTTTGCACTCAATGCACAAAACTAATGATGTTTGCCTTGCCTAGTCTGACCAAACCATATTGGTTAGTAAAGCCCAATAAGAGCAATTATAATTGTGGTGGACATTGTGTGTATACTCTAGAGTGCTGTAGTTGCAGGCATTCAGCCCGAGCTATTGGTTGCAGGTTTTTTGAGTGTTAAGTTCATCTCATAATTGCAGGCAAGAAATTCGGACAGCAACAAGCTCTATGACATCAGTGCCGAAGCCCTTAAAGTTTTTGCGGCCTCATTATGAAAAACTTAAGTTACATTATGATGAAATGCCAGTTTCAGATACAAAGGTATCAAGTCTTTTGCACAATTCAAATTCAAAACTCCATCTCTTCTTATATATATATTTGTGTATGCGTGTGTTTGTATGTCTATAGTTTATACACACATACATATATAATTAATTTAATTATGCAGGTTAGATTTGACTTTTATTCTGTATGCAGAAACTTTTGGCGGATATACTCTCTGTTTTGGCATTAACAATGTCCGCTGAAGGAGGGAGGGTATGTTTTTTGTCACCTGAGGTTTCTTCTTCCATTAGTATTATTATTCATCACCTGAATATCGACACAAAAGTACTCTAATCATGAGTTTGTAGTTTGTTTGAATGTTGCTTTAAATTATTATTATCATGAAACATTTATGTCACCTTTATGCTGTTATTTTTATCTCATGTTTCTGTTTTAGGAGAGCTTGAAATACCGACTACTTGGATCTGGTGATGACATTGGATCGTGGGGCCATGAGTATGTAAGGTGAGCATGTTATCTACTTTGGTTGTCACTCAATTGTCGTTATGCTAAATCACCACTAAGATATAATGGACATATACAGTTGTTTGTATAAGATAGTTTAGAATTAAATAATCTAATAATCTCTATTGATGTTCATGTTCCACAGTTAGCAATATCAATCTTGTCATGGCATATTACAATCACTTGTGGATATATTTAACCTCTAATACAGACGGATTCTTAAATTTCTTTAATCTCAATATTATGAATGTTACTACATGGAGAGCATTCGACTTAAAACATTTTCATTGCCTTTTCACTTAATTTTGGGCCTATTATTTTGGGTTGGAAAAGTTAACTTCCAACCTTTTCAACTCCTTTCTGTTTCTTCCAACTCATTCCAGTTATTCCTTCCAGTTTCCTAAATTCTAAATAGGCTGGTGCATGATGCATCTGAAGTCAGTTCTTTAACACATGATTAAGATTTCCCTTCTATTTTTTTACCTTTTATTATTAATTGTTCTTACTCATAAAAATGTCAGTATGACTGGATTTTGGGATTTAAAATGAGGAATACTAGATAACTTCTTTTTTTACTATCTAGTTATTATAAAGAGAAATGTATTTGTCCTTGATTTCTATTAGTTGTATCTTTTGCTTTTTATTAGCAGATAAATATCAGCTTTCTTGCAGAGTCATCATAAGATTGCTTTGGAATATTTTTACGAGGAATTTACCTAAATAGGACTTAAACATAATGACTTTATCAATATAGGATCATATGTTTTTATTTCCCAATGTAGGACCATTAGTCATTATCGATTAGTCATTATTCAAGTAAATGTCCACCATCACTGGACATTATTCCTCTCACTAGACATTATTAAGTCCTATTTAGGGAATAAAAAAGTCTAAGTCCTATTGCCAAATGACTTATGTTTTAGTCCTATTTAGTGGAAATTTTCTATTTTTATTTATCCTTGTGGTTCGGGGTATTAATTCACCCTTTAAAATTTCATATTACTTTATACAGGAACTTGGCTGGAGAGATTAGTGAAGAATATGGCATACGACAGGTTTGTTTCAATTCACAGTAAATTTACTACTCTGTATTTTCTTGTTCACTTAAAAACTAGCTGTGGTATTTTGCTTATGATGTTAAATCGTTATGAGTTGTACAATTTCATGTTCTTGCAGTTTGTATGTATTCATACTATGTATTTTTTCTTTTATCATTTTTACAAAATTATCTTCATAATAAATGATGCCCCTTATTTCTCATTCGATTTTGTGTAATTGATGACTTTATGTTGTCTGAAACTTCTTCAGAGTGAAGAGTCACCGATTGATGATCTAATGGATCTTGTACAGGATATTGTTTCTTTCCATATGAAGGTATGACTCCTTTATAACTATCTCTACCACTAGATATGTATATTTAATTATTTATCTTAATGTGGCTGCTGTCTCGTGGGATCCAACTGGGTTGTTGTTTGTGTGGTGCTTATGGTATGATGGGTTTTAGTCAATTGCTTCTACTACTACTACTAGATCATATCACACGTGTTTGTGTTGATTAGTTGCTTGTAGCATTTTGCATGGTTGAAGGTTGTAAGTTTCTATCCTAGGATACAGAACATATATGTTTGCATGACCTGCTGCATCCTTATTTGTGGATTGTATTAGAATAAAATGATTAATTTATATTTTTTTTATTGCAGCATAATGCAGAACCTGAGGCAGTTGACCTGTTGATGGAGGTAGTTTTGTTCTGCTTATATTGCCTTGATTGTGCCATTGGGGTTTTATGGCTCATTTCTACTTATTTGATACTTACATGTGATGTCAATTATAAATTGATTCAGGTCGAAGATCTTGAACTTCTGGTTGAGCATATAGAGGATGCAAATTATAAACGGACATGCTCTTACCTTCAGAGCTCAGCTAAGTAAGTTCGGACACATGTTATAAAAAACATTTATGGATGCGGAGACTGGCAACTAGTAGTATAGTATTACCATTCTGTATTTTTTGATTTTCACCGTTAAAGAAACGGAGACAAAGTGTTTTTTTTCATTTGTAATGTATTCCGTTCCTATCATCTTCCTTGTACCACACTGCCAATATATATATATATATATATATATATATATATATATATATATATATATATATATATATATATATATATATATATATATATCAAGGACACTAGATGGTAGTCCATGGTACTCACACTTCAATATTTTGTTTTGTAGTTATCTTCCATTACCAGATGACACCTCGGTCCTTGAAATTGCATACAACATTTATACAAAATTTGGAGGATATGCAAATGCTCTATTCATTGCACTACGTCTTGATAACACACAGGTAGTAAATGACCTAAATTCATTTCATATATTAAAATATACATTCATAAGAAAGAATCTATGCTGTCTCCTACTGCTAATCTCAATGTATACATTGCAGCATGTTAAACATCTTTTTAGAACTTGTGATGATCTTTTGCTGAAAAAGCAGTTTTGCTACATCCTTGCCCTCCAAGTAAGTTCTCAAGTTTGCAACTTATATGTGAATGAAACCCCTTAATGGGTGTGGTTATAATTTTGTTCTTGAGTGCTTCTTCTTGCCTTGTTGGATAGTATATTTTGTACTACATGTTTTCCCAACAAGTATCCTTCCCAAATTCATAGGTTTGAACTTAAAATAGTTACTTTATTTTTTTAATTTTTTTTTTTCTTCTCAATTTTTATTTTGTGTGACCTCTTGATTGAGCTCATGATATTCTATTAGGATAACTTCATTAAATTGGTGAGAAAATGAACCTGGTGTGTTTTATTATGCTGTCAAAAGTTAGGGTGATGGTAATTGCTTAATGGATGATGATACTTGCTAATATTCTGCCAACATAATGTTGATTTTTGGTTCAGCGGGTAACATTTGAACTTGATGAAGATATGTGCTCTGAGGAAGAAAGAGAACAATTGAGGGATATTGTTAACAATGCTAAACTAAGTGAAGGCTATCTTGCTCTTGGTCGTGATGTTGAGGTGATGGAGCCAAAATCTCCTGATGATATCTACAAGGTTTGTTTACATTGAAACAACACGTGTTCTCTTAATGTCATTCTAGATTAACATCTAGCCTCCTACTGTTTTTGGCTCATTCCTGGCTTTTTAACCCCTCACTCACAACTTCTGCATTGACTGTTCAATTCTTTAATTGCATTTTATTTGTAGTTGAAATCAAACCTTTTCTTCTTTCTGTTTGCTTCTCTGGATTCATCAGGCCCACTTGATTGATGGCCGCACAAGTACAGGGGCAAATGTTGACTCGGCAAGACAGAACCTGGCTTCTACATTTGTTAATGCATTTGTTAATGCTGGATTTGGTCAGGTATTATACGTTACATGCTCTGTTTTCTTCACTTACGTGATCAGGTATAGAGTGATTACCGGCTCCTGCTTTTTAAACAGGACAAATTGATGACCGTTCCGTCAGAATCCTCCAGTGGCGGCTCCTCAACAAGTTGGCTTTTTAAAAACAAAGAACACGGCAAAACCAGTGCTGCAGCAAGTCTGGTTAGTAGTGTTCGTCAATTTATTTTCATTCACTTGAAATGATGAAATAGTTACAGTTTCTTCCTATCTATTCAGGGCATGATCTTGCTATGGGATGTGGATACCGGACTTGCCCAAATTGATAAGTACTTCCATAGCACTGATAATCATGTAATTGCTGGTGCATTATTGGCAATTGGCATAGTGAACTGTTCTGTCAAGAATGAATGTGATCCTGTAAGTCCATAATGACTTCTCCCAATACTGGACTTATCGCAACTCAGATACACAGTCAAAATTGAAATATTTCTTTTCTGCAATGCAGGCATTGGCACTTCTTTCTGATTATGTTGATAGAGAGGATGCTTCAATTAGAATTGGTGCCATAATGGGTCTTGGACTTGCATACGCTGGTTCTCAGAATGAAGAGGTGCATTCCGTGTTTGATATATTATGTTGAAAATGTGTTTGAAAACTAGAAGGTGAATGAAACTTGAAAAGCATGTAAAGTCTAAAAGCAGATGTGGCTAATTGAACTAGAATTGCTTGGTAGAAGTAGCTGAAATTGGGTAAAGCAATATATAACTACTAAAACGGTAGATTTAAATGGGTTATGTAACAGAGAAATAGATTGGGTAAATGGGAAAAGCTATGACAAGGTCACTTGAAACCCAAATATGTTACTCCGAGTCATCTTATGTGATGCCGTGATGGCTCATTTAGTTTGCCAGACTATTTTGTAATTTGGTCAAATAAGCTAAACCAGTCAAATAAGAATATAAGATACCTTATTTAACTTGATTCTAATTAGGAGTAGGCATATTTTCCAACCACATTTCACAGTCCCAAGTGTCTACCTGGTCTGTAATATGAGTAAAAAGTTTTTTTTATGTATCCATATAAGATTCCAGGTTTTCTGTTTTTTTTCCAGATCCGTTCTAAACTCACTCCCATCCTTGGAGATACAAAGGCATCGCTCGATGTCATTGCATTTACTGCAATCTCATTGGGATTGGTATATGTTGGCTCATGCAATGAAGAGGTTGCTCAGGCAATTATTATTGCGTTGATGGAGCGAAGTGAGTCAGAACTGGAAGAACCTTTTGCCCGTTTCTTGCCACTTGGTCTTGGACTTCTCTACCTTGGGAAGCAGGTAACTGCAATGAAATAATATGTAATGTGAACATAAAAGAAAAATGATTTTTTGGGTTTGAAGTACTCTCAGAGAAGTACACAGTATATTTTTTTACTTCATCCCAAAATAATCTTCTGAGATACTATTGATAGGGTCAAATAATATCTTCTTTCCTTGTGTATTTCCACTTTTAATTTGTTAGAACAAAATAGTCATGTCATCTCTTTTGTAAAACTTTTGATGTTTTTAGATATATATAAGGTAATTTTTATTTTTAAAATTTTCCCTAAGCGATAAATAAGTTGAATTGATAATAACTCCAGTCAAACATCTAATGAAAATTTGACGGGAGAGTAAATTGTCTGTTAATAATTTAATACATTGGTGGAAGTTGAACCTTTTTGTCCACAAAAGTCAAACCTTGCCTGTTAAAGTGGAGTGGTGGAACTTGGTTTTGTTTCAAAACTTTGAAAAGTAATTTTTTTATCCACACCCATCTTGCATGACATTCAATCATTTTCTTTTAATGTTTGTTCTCTCTTATAATAATGTCATAGGAAAGTGTTGACGCAACAGCTGAGGTTTCAAAGACTTTCCATGAAAAGATTAGAGATTATTGTGAAATGACTCTACTTTCTTGTGCCTATGCTGGAACAGGGAATGTACTCAAGGTTGTCTGAATCTTATTTAGTCTCATAACTTGTTGTCCGAGATATTATAGTATAAGCCTCTAACAGGTTGTAGTCTGTTACACAGGTCCAACACTTTCTCAGTAATTGTGCTCAACATCATGAGAAAGGTGAAACCTACCAAGGCCCTGCTGTTCTTGGAATTGCATTGGTTGCAATGGCTGAGGAATTGGGGCTTGACATGGCAATACGATCACTAGAACATCTTTTGCAGTATGGTGAACAGAATATCAGAAGGGCCGTTCCTTTGGCTCTTGGTATCTTGTGTGTATCAAATCCAAAGGCATGTGTCATGAATACCAACCTCAACTTCTCTACTTCTTCCTCTCCTTTCCTTGAATATACAATCCTCACTAGTAATTATTTCTTACATGCCACATCTCTTACAGGTCAATGTTATGGACACATTAAGCAGGCTGAGTCATGATTCTGATGCAGAAGTAGCAATGGTATTTAAAATACGAAAGAGCTCTTAGGGCTTGTTTTATTTAGGGGCTTTGTAGGGAATGAATAGGAGAATTTTTTTTTTTACTAAATTTATCTTGATTTGAAGTCTTAGAGTAGAAAATAATATCATGTTCAGTTAATTAATGTATTTCTATGTGATTTTTGATCTTTGCTTTTCTGGAACCATCTAAATGTAAAAACATATAAATGAAAAAAGCTATCACCCTCCCTCTCCCTTCTGTCCCCTCTGCAATTTGATTTGTGTTCAAGTTTAAGAATCTCCCTAAAAGATTCAGTGTTTTTCTCAATTTTACAGGCGGCTATTGTTTCAATGGGGTTGATAGGTGCTGGAACTAACAATGCTAGAATAGCTACGATGCTTCGAAATTTGTCTAGTTATTATTACAAGGATGCCAACCTTCTTTTTTGTGTAAGACATATATGAAAAAATCTTCGTATTTGTTTTTCTGTAGCATCATTGTTTTTTGTTTTTGTTTTTGATTGATGTGTTATCAATGCAGGTTCGCATTGCTCAAGGGCTTGTCCATCTAGGAAAAGGCTTGTTAACCCTCTCACCTTACCATTCTGAACGGTTCTTATTATCTCCGTATGTGTTCTACTCCCACCCCCACCCCACACACGAAAATCACCCAAACCCACACAATCTTTTGTCCTTCTTATCATTTCTATAGTGTGGTCGTGTTGATAGTTTGCTTTAGAGTAGTAGGCTTGTAGATTATTGTGAGTGTTGAACTTTCTGCCTTGGCAGAAAAGTTTAATATGATTATGAAATTGCCACCATGTTTTTATAGACTACTAGATTTTTGGTTAGTTGCAACCCTTAGGACTTGCAATCCTATGCCCTTAAGCACTGTTTTAAACTACTTTTAGTTTGAACACACACATATGAAACATCCTCTCTTTTAGTTTTAAACTACACACATATGATCATTTAGGTATGGGTAAGGTCTGCTGCACGCGCACCCTTCCAGATTCCACTTGTGGAGTTTTTCTGGTTGTTTTGTGTTAACATCTATGCTGTTATTGCTCCATCCTTTCCAGGACTGCTTTGGCCGGGCTTATAACTATGCTGCATGCTTGTCTTGATATGAAAGCCATCATTTTAGGAAAATACCACTATGTGCTATATTTCCTTACTTTGGCAATGCAGGTGAGGGATCCATTGACTTTTGGAACTTCAGGATTTTTACTTATGTTCTAATATTAATTTACGCGTGGCTTATTTTCAAAAATTAATTTTTTGTTGACTCTTTTTTTGGTTAACAGCCAAGGATGCTTATGACAGTAGATGAAAATCTCAAACCATTGTCTGTACCTGTTCGCGTTGGCCAAGCTGTTGACGTTGTTGGTCAAGCGGGTCGACCCAAGACAATCACTGGATTCCAGACCCACTCAACCCCTGTTCTCCTTTCTGCTGGTGATAGAGCTGAACTTGCCACCGAAAAGTAAATGATCTTTTCTCTTTAGGACTCTTCTTTTTCCCATATCCCGTGCTTAGTTTTCCGGATCTTTTTTTCCTCTCTGTACCGCTTGTGTGTGGTGGTTTTGGGGGGTGGGGGTGTGGGATAGGGCTATGGAAGTCTCTTAAATCCCATCTTGAGCAGAAGTATTTACAAATTTAACCCAAGGTCTATCTAGAGACCAGATCTAAGTTTTTCAGGAGCCGTCATATCATGATTGTTAACTTGTTAGATTTGTACTCACTTGTAAATGAAATCTTAATATATTCACTATGTTATGTCTGGGATATGGGGTTTTGGATGAAATATTTTGGAGGGCTCCATCTAAAACAAACAAACAAACTCTGTAGTATCCCACAGATTTAGAAGTGGTCTCTATTTGGAATATAGGCTCTTTCCAAACGGGGATAGTCTATATTTTTATTTACATTTGTGATTTAAAAAAAATAATATTTGCATGCTTAACCTAAAGTGCAACTGTAAAGACGCTAAAGAGGTGTTTGCCATTGACTAACAACGTACTTCTCTCATGTACAGATATATCCCGTTGTCTCCTGTTCTTGAAGGATTCGTCATCCTAAAAGAGAACCCAGATTACAGCGATGATCATTAATCTCTGCTGCAAACCAACATGAAATCGAAGTTCTAAACTCCGGAAAAGTTACGAAGACCCTCAAAGATCTTGTTTTTATTTCAGAATGTCACCTCAAAGAAAGGGAGTGTCCTTCTTAAAGACTTGCAGAATCTTGTTCTTATTATATTTATGTATATGATATGTGCAAAAAGAGATGATTTATCAAGGAAGTGGGAAAAGGAAGCCGGAGAGGGAGGGAATGAGAGGCATAGATTACGTTTTGTGATTTCTTCTAAATTATACAGTATATGTTAAATTCTTTAGTCAATTTGTTTGCATTTTGAATGTTGTTTAGCATTTTGCCACTAATACAACTATCCAAGGACTATTTATGTGTGATTAACCTTCCCTGTGGATCTCAAGTCTCAGCATTAAAGTTTGGACAAAATGTATAGTCCATATCTGATCCCATTTTCTACTCATACACAAAAATGTTCCATCAATATTTCTTTGGACCATGATGCTACACACCTTCTATCCTTGCTACCAACCTTGCCTCCACCCACTTCTCTACCACATATTTATCTCTACCTATTCTCCACCCACCCTCTAATTTTAATTTTCTTGCCTCCCTACCACATGTTTATGTAGGGGGCATGGGTGGTAGCAAGGGTGGGGGGTTTTAGCATTTTCCTATTTCTTTTAAGCCTAAAACCAACACCTTTTGATACTAATAGAGACTACCTGTCCTAAAGTATTTATCAAGTTTGAGTTTTTGTAGACAAATTTGATGAATGTTGATCGTTATTTAGGCAAAATTTGTAATGCATGTTGATTCGAAAATGACTCCATTAGAATTATCGTGCAAAAAATTTCATATAACTATTTTAGTGAATCAAATGAATGATGTCAATGTTTAATCTGACTAAAAAAGTCCAAGTAGACAAATAGTATGGGAGAAATTGATGGAGTAAAAATGGGGACTAAACCGTGTCTGCTTTATCTGGTTAAGAAGTAAATCGTGCCCCGGAGTATATATTATTTGAAATAAAATGTAGCAATAACAAATCTTACCTTTGCCATTGTGGTGGACAAATTGTTTTTCGAAAAATTCTGTTTGGAATTTTGGAAATAATCATGAGTGTATTTCAAATGAAGAATCTAAAACACTAGACACTATCAGAAAATGAAATATAGAGTATAGACGCATCAACAAGATTTTGTAAGCAAAATGTTGGTAGAGAAATGCTATTGCAAATAAAAAAAACCCATAAAATGTTGGTAGAGAAATGCTATTGCAAATAAAAAAACCCATAAAAAAACCCATAAAATAGTTTCAGGTAACCGAAAAATTGAAAATATAAATTCACAAAGACTCAGAACAAATTTGTAAATGTTGTACTTCGTTTTTGTTTGTGTCTCAAACGTTTCTCTGGTTATTGGCTCTGTTTGGTATAAGCGTTAGAGATTAGCGTTACCGTTTTGAAGAAGCTATCCGATGATAACCTTTAGCGTTAGCGTTTTTAGAATTAATCTACAGCATTAAAATTTTATCCAAACACAAACGCTAATCGAAAACGATATTCTCAAACAAGGCCATTATCTACTCCTATCTTACAAACTTGTTTTACTTTATTTACTACTCGTAATAAATATGCATTACTAATTCTTCCATCATAATCTAGCGTGTTTTTTTGAAAACTAATAATTATGCTACAAAAAAATTTAGCGTGTTTGATATTTTATGTCCTTTTAGATAAGGGCATCATTATTATTACTCCACATTATTATTACTATTACTATTATTATTATCATTATTATTATTATTATTTTAATTATTACTCCAGGGTATTATTATTATTATTATTATTAGTCCTAAACTTACCCATGCTTTCCTTTTATATCTGAAACGGGTCAAAATATTGGAGTTAGTCGACCCGGCTGGGGTTTAACTTAGGGTTTCTCTTCCACAATTTCCTAGCAGCGGGACATCGGCAGCATTGATCTTCTCGGCTGACGTCTGTGTGCCGGGAAGATGGTGAAGGTGAGAGTGATATCGCGTTCGACGGATGAGTTCACCCGAGAACGCAGTCAGGACCTTCAGGTAAGCTCAATTTGCACAATTTCACCAAAATCTCCATTACTGCTTCATCCGTTTTTTAAGGCAAAAAAAAGAAGAAGCTGATTTTGGAGTTTGGAATGTCCTAGAGGGTATTCCGGAACTTTGATCCCAGCCTTCGACCGCAAGAGAAGGCAACTGAGTATGTTCGTGCTTTGACCGCCGCTAAATTGGAAAAGGTAAATTTGATTTTAGAACTCCGAATATGTTATTTTAGTAGCTATCTGATTCGATTTTACGTCTGTTATTGGCTGCCGACTTTGCTTTTGGTTGTCAGATTTTTGCAAAGCCATTTGTTGGGGCCATGGATGGGCATATAGATGCAATTTCTGCCATGGCTAAGAATCCAAATCACTTGAAAGGAATATTTTCGGGTTCAATGGATGGAGGTATTATGGAGTGAATAGGTTGCAGTGTTCTTGTTTACTTTGCGAAATGGTTGGGTCTTTAAAAAAATAGAATTTGGAACTCTACTAACACTGGAAAAAATTCAGGTTATTAATTTCATCTTTTAAAATGCTCTTAGGTAGAATGAGTAACTTTTCCCATAATGTAATTTGATAGGTAAACAAAATCAATCATTTTCCTAATACCTTTAAACAATCATCGATGGCAGCTGTTTAGTTTGAGAAACACTATATAAATATTTTTGTAAGTTTGAGTTCCTATGATTTTGAATTTTCATTGACTTCGGTTGCAGATATTCGCCTTTGGGATTTAGCTAACAGGTAATGATCCTTTTTTTGTAGTTTTGACTTTTGATCATTAAATTTGCTGGGAGTAAAATGCTTCAGTCTGTAGACCTGAATGGTTTTCTATTGGAGTTGTATTTTTTCAAATTCTATTTTATGGGTAAAATTATATCTAGTCTTACATTATCAGCCATTTCTAATGATAAGAAACCTTTCTAACTTCTCATTGGCACACAAATTGTGGGTTTGTTTTACTCATCACTGGTTCATAAATGATAAAAGGAAAACTGTATGCCAGTTTTCTGGTCACAAAGGTGCAGTGCATGGTTTGGCGTCATCTACAGATGGGCGTGTTCTTGTGTCATGTGGAACTGATTGCACGTAAGTCTGTAGTTTATCTTTTCTGTACAAATTTTGAATGCCATATGTTAAGCATAGTTTTGAAAGGCGTTCGCCTCTCTTGCCTGAGGCGCCTCAGGCAAAAGGGCGAGGACTCAGCGCCTCAAAAGAGGCAGGCGAGGCGACATTCCTCAGGTGACCGCCTCTCTCGCCTTTCGTCTGTTCATTTTTTGTTGTGGATTAGTCCAAACAACTAATAGAAATTAGAAACCATGGCAGTCCCGACCCGATCCAATGCCCAGATTTCATTTACTCCGTAAGTCTTAAAATCAAAAACCCAAACCTCACTTCCAAAAAACTTTCATTTAAATATTAAATGAAAAATGCTAGCTATTTTTCCTTTTAGTTTTATTTTTTCAAGAGTATTTCCAATCATTTGTGTTTTCATCTTTTAATGTTTTTACTTTTAGTTTAGTTTTTTAGGGATTTTAGTTCTGTATTTTTAATTCAATTTGAATTCTGTTTACATTTATTTACATTTTTAAAATTTTACAGTATTTCCAATGCGTGTTTTATTGGAATGTTTTAATACAAATCAATTTTTAGAAATATTAATTTGGTTATATATATATATATATATATATATATATATATATATATATATATATATATATATAGACAATGTTATAATTTGCTTTGGATTGAAGTTATTTACACGATATATAATTGTCTCTGTGTGTGTGCATATATATATGTATATATATTTGTGTGTGTGCGTGTGTATGTATACCATGTTCGCCTCTTGACCGTCCGCCTTTCTCCTCGCCTTTTGCCTTAAAGAAGGCCCCCCTCGCCCGCATTTCGCCTCTCGCCTTTCGAAACTATAATGCAAAGAATGGTTTGAATTCTGTACAAATTCTATAATCCTTTTTGTTCCATACTCTGGTCATTTTTAAAGTGTGCGGCTCTGGAGAGTTCCTGTTTCTACTCTACTACTGGAACCAGAAGAAGCAACAGACAACTCTGCCAAGGTAGTGAACTTTTATGCAATTGCAGTGGACTAAAATGCATTTGAAATTGTGAATTACATTCTTTTGTCATTTTATATTTACTTGCGCTTTCATTTTTGCAGTCATTAGCAGTTTATGTCTGGAAAACTGCTTTCCGGTACGTTTTATTTTAGTTCGCGTAAACATTTGTTAAGTGAGTTTGGGTGTGGGGGGTTCTATTTCTTTTTTTCATTATCTTATGCACATTCTTCCCCAGGGCTGTTGACCACCAGTGGGATGGCAACCTTTTTGCAACAGCTGGTGCCCAAGTAGATATATGGGACCACAACAGGTCTGTTTCAGTGCTTTGTATGTTAATTAAGTAGTCAAGCATTTCTTTTTTTATTTCTTATAGTTTCATTGGAACAGGTCACAGCCGGTGCACAGTTTTACATGGGGAGTTGATACTGCTGTATCAGTTCGTTTTAACCCTGGTGAACCTGACATTTTGGCAGCTTCGGCTAGGTTTGTGCCTATCCAGAATAGTTTATTTTCTCCAAGATGCTTTTACCTTGTCTTTTTTAAAAAAATAATACTAGGCTTACAGTTCAGTGTAGACATGTAGTTATGATGAATTTCACATCATGTAAATGTTTGTGATGGATCTAGCAAACCTGTGTATTTGGTAATTGAAGCTTCAAAAGCCTTTATCTAATACAGATAATATTTACCTTGTTTATGTCTCAATGATTTCGGTTGTGGTTTACTGGATAACTTTCCTAGGTTTATACTATGTAACTCTTATTTCCTTGTTGCAATCATATTACTCCCTCTGTCCCATAATTATCTTCCCTCTTTCCTATTTGGGTTGTCCCAAAATTTTCTTCCTCTTTCCTTTTAAGGAAACAAATATGTGGTCCATATCAATTCTCTTTCCTCTACACAAACCCATAGTTATCAAGGTGTCGCCTAGGCGACGCTTAGGCGTCTGGGCGAGGCTATGTGGACGCCTAGTTGGTCGCCTAGCTTTTTTCTCCCTGGGCGACTTAGTGACTATCTTGGAGACGCATCTACGTTTTAGAAGCGCAAGGGAACGCGCGGGATAGAGAGAGAAGACGGAGGAGAAGATAGAATGAAGACTTATCTTTCTCGCAAATCATTTGTCGCGGTCTGCAGAGGCTTCCAGCGGCTCCAGTCTCTGCAGCGGCTCCCTGTGTCTTTCTAACTCTCTATCATCTATCATTTAGACTAGTGGACTAGGTCAAATAACTGGGCTAGGTTCATTAAAAGACTATTGGACCTTTACACCAGAGTATAAGGCCCAAAATTTAATAGGCCTTTTAAAAGCTCCCTTTATTGGAGTAGGCTTATATATATATATATATATATATATATATATATATAATACTCAATTTCATAAAGGTGGTATTACTGTTCATTTTAATTAATTATATCGTATTATATGCTTTAACATTAGTACCTATAAAATTTTTATGGTCGCCATAACCCACTCGCCCAGCGGACGCCTAATCGCCTAGGCGATTGGAAGGTGCTCTAGCGCCCAGCCTCGCCTAGCCGCCGTAACAACTATGCACAAACCTCAACCACCAAGATTTTACTTTATTAAAAATCGTGCCAAGTACCCGGAAGATGATTGTGGGACGGAGGGAGTACTATTTTAGTGCCCATTAACTTGCATTAATATTCTTTATATTGATATGTTGGAAATTTAACATACTTTTGTAGTTAGGTGGATACCAATCTTAATACTCCAACAACTGGTTGTCACTTTGAATTGCAATCACTTATTCTCTTAATCTTTTGTCTTGGCAGTGATAGAAGCATAACTATATATGATTTACGAATGTCATCACCTGCAAGAAAGATCATTATGAGTGTAAGCATAATGAATTCTTCATCATTCGGATTCAATGATCTTTTTCTAACATGTCTGATTTGCAGACCCGAACTAACTCAATAGCTTGGAATCCCATGGAACCAATGAATTTCACTGCCGTAAGTGCAACAGAAACTACTACTATAATTTTTTGTGGTTTGATTTCTCCGTATAACCATTACGATCTCTCTCCAAAAATCTTTGTTCTCACGTCTGTGTTCATTTATTTGTGTTGAGGAGAAAAAAATAGGGGTGGTGGTCAAATCACAGGAATCTTATTTTTTCCAACTGATTAGCAAATTTATGTTACATCTCCATTTTTAATGTAATCGCTTGGACGCATTGGGGAAATCTCATAGATCTAACTAGCATAAGAACTCAATATCGTTTGCCTTAAAAATATTTTGTTTAAATGAGATCCCATATTTATTGCTCACCCGATACATGCTATGTGCACAACCTTGCAGCAATTGCTATTGATGGTAGATTGGTAGATATCACTTAATTTTTGTTTTTTTATTGAATTTTCATCATCTCACGAAGTCTTGATAATCATATTTTGGCAGGCAAATGAGGATAGTTGTTGCTACAGCTATGATGCTAGAAAACTAGGAGAAGCCAAATGTGTTCACAAGGATCATCTCTCTGCAGTGTAAGATTTATATGGAAATGTTGTCAAAAAGTGATAGGCTGACTGCTCTCTTCAGCCTTATACTATCTGAGTTCTATATTACTCATTACTTAATCGGGTAGGATTGCATACACTTGTCATCATTTTGCAGGATGGATATAGATTACTCACCAACTGGTCGTGAATTTGTTACAGGATCTTATGACAGGACAGTATGTGCTACTTTTTTCATGAATAATTTACCCATTTCAATATATGCACATAACTAAAAATTGAAACAGAGGGTTTCCATGCACTAACCATACTGTTTATTTTTAGGTGAGAATATTCCCGTATAATGGTGGTCACAGCAGAGAAATTTATCATACAAAGAGAATGCAAAGGTTTGCACAATGTCTACATGTTGCTTAACTGTTCATTATAGTGACGTGATGTAGATTAGTTTTTTATAAACATTAATATTGCTGATGCAGTAATCATTGGTCATATGATCATATCATACAAACCTTGGACATGAGGATAATTAGCCCGTTTAGTATAAAGATAAGATTTGGTTAATCTGTCTGAACTGGTTAATTAGGGAATTTGTGGCACTGTTATGATTGAAATTGCTTAATGGACTGTATGATCTATGCTGGCTAAAAGTATACTCCTTTTGTCCCGAAATAAAAGTGACACTTTCCTTTTGGGCTGTCCTAATATAAAGTTCAAAATTTCTTACATTCTTATTAAGGAAAATAATATGCGGCTCACAACATTTTTTCTAAAAAAATTTCAGCCACACTTGTCTACAATATCTTTAACTCCGTGTAGCCTAAGTGTTGCTTTTATTTTGGGATAGGGGGAGTATTTTGAAATTATTTTTGTTAAAAAAAATAATTAAAATAATTTCTTTTAAAATGAAGGTAAAGTGCCATCTACTTCTCATTTAAGCTATTTCAAAGATATAAGTAACTTCTGCACCATTTTATTCATTAACAGGTTTATGCACCAGTCATTTAAGCTAGTGTTTGGTAGTAAGACTGATAAGCAGAAAAATCAGGCCACTAAATGGGAATCGAGTAGATGCAACATTTTATTTATTGCCTCTTTAGATTGCAAATTTTCCTCTAGGTATAAGTGCTCTAATCTAGATATGTGATGATTTACAGGGTGTTCTGTGTAAAGTTCAGTTGTGATGCTAGTTATGTCATCTCAGGAAGTGATGATACCAACGTTCGGTTGTGGAAAGCTATAGCATCGGAGCAAATGGGAGTTGTATGTATCTTTTGGTCTCTGTATCCTTTTTATTGATATATGAATTGAACACCCTCTGATTTTATGTGTATCTTTCTCTAAAGAGTGTGATATGATCCGTACACCAGAAACTTCATGCATCTTCAAATAAACAAAATTGAGGAAAACCATAGGTCTTAGTAATAAATTTATTCCCGGTTTTCTCCAACTTTTTAGCATTTTTTAAATATATAATGTGGTTTAATTGATATAATAATAACAAGTAAAACTTGTGCAGCTTTTGCCCAGAGAACGTAAAAAACACGATTATCTAGCGGCTGTCAAGAAGCGTTACAAACATCTTCCTGAGATCAAGCGTATTGACAGGTAAATTTCTGTGGCAAAGAGCACATTTTCCCCATGTTCTTTCTTCTCATAAAAGCCCACTATACATACTTCCTCTGTCCTTATATAATTGTCTATTTATCCATTATGACATTCGACATACATCAAGTATCAAATGAATGTGATTACACTGTATGTCCACATTAATGACATACATTCATTCATTTTTTAATGTATCTAAAAAGTTATAATGGACATTTATTTATTTAAGAACAGAGGGAGTATGAGGGTTGCATAAAGACACTGGTGCACAATCACCTCTCACAAGAAGAATTCAGCATTGGACTATTACTGTTGGTTGTATTTTGACCTTGTTAAATTAAACATATGTGCAGACACCGGCACTTGCCCAAACCAATATACAAGGCTGCTCGTCTGAGACGAGAGATGATGGAGTCAAGGAGGAGGAAGGAAGATAATGTGAGAGCCCATAGTGCTCCTGGTAGCATGCCGAAGCAGTCCGTGCGTAAAAAGAGAATCATTCAAGAAGTTGAATAATCACAAGCTTCTTCCACCACCATCATTGGTGTCGACATGACCCCCACCACCACCAGTATCATCATCATCATCATCATCATTGTTCTTCTCTCCTTCTCAATGATACCCCCCCTCCCTCACCCCCCCCCCCTTTTAANCATCTTCATCATCTCATCTCTTCTCATTGACACCCTCCCTCTTCCTTCATCATCGTCATCATCATCATCTGCGATGCATGTGTTGTTTCCATGTTTTTGTTCATTTGTGTGTAGACTGTAGGCATGTAATGGTGAACCAATGTGTTGTGGATTGATTTTTTAGATGTTTTGGTTTGATTCATCGGTATTGTTGCTACACTCATAAGTTTAAGTGTTTGATTTAAAATACACATTGACGTTTTTATTCTTCTCAACTTGCCTCACAGTTCCCCTATTTTAGGAAATGTCTTACTTTCCGTTTGTTTACATTCGTTCCACTTTAAAAATAAGCATAATTTCATTTCGTTTTGCATATTTTTAAAACAAAAAAGATATCAAGCATCGTAATCAACATTATAATGTTTAAAAGGGAACAAAAAGCTATAGTTCCAATCTATAATAACACTACCTTTGCTTCATTATTTTTGTTATTTTTACTTTTTTAGTCAATCTCATTGTTTTTGTGTGCTGGTTACATTTACTTATTTCATCTTATTTTTTACTCTTATTCCAAATAGAATATTACAGTTCCCTTATTAAAGATTGTGGGAATTTTTATTTGAAGAACATAATAAAATATTTTTATCATTTTTTGTTTGGAAGAACATTACATGTATTTTTTAAATATATAAATTTTAATTTTTAACTTCTATCCCCAATTATAAATAAAATAAATTGAAAAAACATAAAATTTTATTTTTTTGCAGAAGAAAATCTTACGGAGTAGAACAAAGAGGGCTCTAACTTCATCCATCACCCCCCTACTTATTGATTCCTAAAACCAAATTACCTGCAAAAATGGCAGCGGCCGCCGCCAGATCGTTTTTCCGGTCTTCTAGTAGCGTTCTTAACGCCGCCGGGCGTTTTACCCGCGAAGCCAAAGCAGCCCGCGCCCCTTGCCGCATGACCTACAGAAGCCCTCTGGGATCTCGATTCTTCAGGTTTATATCTATCTGCCTCCCCATGTGATTCTATATTCTGGATATAGAAATGCTCTCTCTATACGTGCCTTAGTACTTGGTTGCTTTGGATTTGAAGGCGCCCTGTTGAGTTGAGCGGCTGCGGAATCTCAATGCAGCCATTCCATACAGCCACTGCTTTGGCTTTGATGAACTCGATGCTCGCCGTCTCTCCCCACAGCTTCAGTTGGCTTTCCGAAGGTTAAACTTCTCCTGAAAAATCCTCGGTAATTTCGTGTATTTGTCAAACAAGTTATTTTAGTGACTGATCCTAGGTACATTGCACTCCATGTGTTTGATGAATTGGGTAGCCTATGAAAGATGAAAAGTTCATTTATTTAGGAATTAGGACAATGCCCCTTCTTGGAATAGGAAATAAAATCTGATTGTGGCAATCTGTGAGTACCTTTCTTTTTTCTTGACAGCAATGCGTTTGATGATCATCAGATCATGTGATTGCCTTGTTAAATTGTACCCCATCTCCCGCAATAATGCCCCACATTTTACCGGTGCAGTTATTTAAAAAGAAGAAACTTTGTAGTTGAGATTTATGCATAGAATGAGAATAATATGAATGGCATACTTCTTTACTTAGAAGGGAGGAAAAATATTACAGTATTTTGGGACAGACAGATGTGGAAATGTGGAACCTTAGAGGGCAAGCACACAAATGCAAACCCCACATTTCTGCATCCCACAAGCATTGAGGCTCATTATCTTCCCATCCTGCAGAATTGATTCCTTATACCTGCATGTTTTTACACAGCTTCTATCTAACCTTAGAAATATAAGCATCGTCTTCATGCCCGTCACTTTTATAACATTTGTCTTGTTGCTCCTTCCATATTAAGTTTTCTAATAAATGTGTTTTCATTCTTTATCTAGTAGCTACGCCAATTAGATACAATACCCCCCCTTAAGAACTTTGGTAAGTGATGTTTTTGCGAAACCGTTCCAAAGTTTTCCGTGTATGCATTTCTGCAACTTTTTCAAGATCAAGTTTTAAGGTGTTTTATGTGTGGCATCATTTATCCAGATGCTGAGACCAAGAGTTTTCTTGGAAGTTTGTTTTCTTTTTTTGTTGGTTTTAACATTTGTCTGCTAGTCTAGGAAATTCTACCAAGTGCCTCCCCTCAACTTGATAATGAGTCCACATGCTGGTGATAACTGGTTTGTTTGTTTGTCTTGTTGATGTGTGGATCAGCTTGCAGGGATGATGCATGACTGGGTATCTGTTACTGGAGGACTCGAGTGATTTCCCTGTCCCACATCTTTTCATTCTATATGTTGTATTCATTGATATTGATAAATTGACTTGAGTGTTGCAAAAGAAATAGTCCTTATGTTATTGGCATGGTTATCAAGGCGACAAGTCAGTCCAGTCGGTGTATAGGAGGCTAGTAGACTAGTCAAGGCCGGCCGGGAAATGGAAAAAAAATGAGATTAGCCGTGTGCAAAATTCACGTGTTAAGGTCTATTTTGTTTTTTTACAAAGTACGCGTGCTTTAAACTTAGTACTAAATTTGATTTTCAATAACTACTAAAATAATCTGAATATTAAAATATAAAGTTATATTAAATTTAAAAATATCAAGCCATTAGAATAATGAACATCTAACAATATTAGACCTAAAAAGTTTCGAGGCATTGTGCGGGTACCCAATTTGCACACCGTCCGGGCTGCCCTTGTTAGTGATAGACTATTTGACAATATATATTTTTATGATGAAATATCATTACCAAAACAAAATTATGCTTAAAGGTAGCACATAGTCACATAACAAAGGGTACCTAAGAAAGAAATACCCTTCAATCTTCAAAAAACAATACACCAGGTACCAACAAAGATGGCGAGCACAAAAAGAAGTTAAAGATAAGGAGATCTTACCCATGAAAGATGATGGAGAAGAATCGATGAAGAAGAATCAATTCCAAAAGAATGGATCCTAGTAGATAGCTTTGGCAAGAGAGATAAGTCCAGAAGGATTATCGTGGGGTGCTAAGTGAATGAAGGATGGGGTGCTTTTACGAAATATTTGTAAAATTCAATGATATCTGGATGGGGCCGAGTTGGGTTGGGTCAAATTGAATAGGACTTACATCAACTAGTCGTCGCTTTACACGATCGGGTGGGCATTCCACTCGATTCGCTAGGCGGCAGATAAGTCCCCACCACCAAAAAGATCGGACGACTAGTCGGTGACTAGTCAACGGCCTAACGACAATGAATATTGGCTATCTTGTTTTATAATATCCCATTCTAGAAATGGTATATCTCTAGTCGTACCAAAGTTTGACATCATGTGTTTCATAGACATACATAATGAATGATTGTCTTTCTGTCAAAGTTGGTGACAAGGTTTTTTTACGAATGCAGTTCCTTCTTTTATGAAAGCTGAGGGTTTTGTATTCTTGCAAGTTTCACTTATTACACCAGTAATCTATGTGTGCGTGGGAGGGACTTGTCGACATTTTTTACAAGATTAAATGGATTTGTAGAGATTGAATGAGTAAGTTGAAAACACGTTGAAAAGATAATTTTCATAAGAATAAATGAATTTCTAGAATATAAAATGAATAAGTTGAAAACACATTACCCATTATGGATGAATTTATTTAGGACCATCCAATATCAGATAATGTGCTAAATTTTATTTATAGATGATGATGATATCATTTCAGTGGGCAAACATGAGCAAATGCTAAGATAAATCAAGTTAAAATGGAGCCTAAATGTTGTACAACCAAAATTAAAAGACAGTGGGGATGAAATTTGATTTTGATGTGGACCATCAAAATGACATTGTTCAAATGATTGAGATCTATAGCATACAAAATAGAGACATTTATAAAGATTCAACACACATTGAAGATGAAGTAATGGAGAATCAGTTTCTTGTTGTCTAATGAAGTGTGCACCAATTTGTGAAGAAATTAAACCTCAGTTTTAGGTAAAATGCCCAAGAACCAAACCAAGCCCCTTAACCAAACAAGAGATATAGAAATACTGTGTGGTAAAATTAAGGAACGTGAATTGAACCAACTAATAGGAAGGCCATACCATCGCTATTAAGATTTATACCAGTGCAAAATTAGAAAAACCACTGAAATTCGTGTACATGCTGGGAATGCAAAAGTAAAACGAGGAGCACTTGAAAGCTTAGTCCCATAAAAATATTATATTCACCCATAAGACGACCCCTCTTTATTCCTTCACTTCCACATTGACCAATTCGTACTCCACTAGAGATAGATTGTTATCTTCTTTGACATCAAAGCTAGCAGGTTCTGCTGCAACCTCAACACGCCCCCATTTGTCTACTGCCAAACGCATTGAGCCTTTGAACATGTCTATCTTTGCATTCCGGATGATCACCGTGTTGCCAGGGGCCATTGTGTCAACTGCACTCGAAAGGGAGACATAATGGGAGAAAAGATCATTACTCTAACATGAAGGCATGAACAGTATGCTAGCTAGCAAACCAAATGTCAAGAGTAGCCACAAAGATGGGGCTATGAAATTGTTGAACGACTAATTTAAGGTCAATATGTCAGCAGTAAACGACAAATTAGTTGTATTGTATTTCTATTTCAGAGTCAAGCTCTGTGATCTGCAAGCTGATTTTACAATATCCACTTCCAATTTGCAATGAATATAGGAACCATTTTGGCTGTGTTTGTCATTAGTGTTTGCCTGTTTGACTTCAACATTTTGAAAGTGTTATCCAATGGAAGCTTTTAGTGTTGACATTTTTAAAGCAAAGATGCACCAATAAAAATTATCCAAAATGCTAACACCAATCACAAACATTGTTGCCAAACAAAGCTTTCAACTCATTGCAATCTCGTGATATTTTCAACGAATAGAGGGAAAACATGATTTGATGGTGGTACTAAAAGTTCACTTTATTATTCATTGTTTCAAAGGTTGGGACATGAAGGGCAGTCATGGTAAGCTTTGACAATATAAACTTTTGGCATGACATTGTAGTGTGGATTACATTTAAGCAATCAATTGATACTGGAAATTTCATATGACCAACGCCAGCATACTCGAGATTAATGTGCTAATGATGATGATGATACTCCCAATAGTTTCTCCAATTATCAAATGCTTACCAAATGCACAATAGATTAACAAATCAAAAACCTTGTGCATTACACTTCCACTGAAGCAACTAAACAATTAAGGCACATCCCAAATTTTTGTATGCAGACCTGCAAGAACTGTACAGAAAAACTAAACAAGAATTCTTTCTATGCAGAGAAAATGAAAATGCAAGCCAAATGTTACGTTAGTCACCAGTTTAGCTCGCAACAAGTAATAAATTCCTACCTTCACACCACTTTGATTACAATATCGCAGCAAAACATTTCTAACAGAATGAAATATTAGCAAAAATAAATAAATCTTAAGAGGTGATCTGTTAATTTGTATCAATGTTGAAATAGAATAATCATGAACAGACAATCAAACAATCATGATGCAGATTCATACATATTACATATACATATATATAAACATACATAAACAAATGCTAAAAATATACCTTGATCATTGCGGGCAGTGAAAACGATGGACCCAGTTTCGTCACCCACGAGGCACTCGGCTATACGCTGAGGGACGGCGGAACGAGAGTTGAGAGACATCGAAAACCTTCCGCCTCCGCGCCTACCACCACCGGCGCCGCCGTTGCTTTTGATAGGGACGGAATTGATAACCTTCACCGTCAGATTATGGCCGTTGGTACCAGGTTTCAGGCTGTCGACTTTCACGAACACTGGCTTCCTCTTCTCTACAGATCCAGCGGCCGCCGTCGCCATCTCGTCGAAATTCAAAGATTTTAAACCCTAATCAACAAAATTTCCGAATCAGAGGTACTTCTCGCTATGTTTCGAGGAAATGAACTCTATGTGTATATATTTGCCGAAGGGTCTGTTTGGAAAAAATGGTTTTAATTAGGGTGAGATTCTAGATTATTTTTCTAATAATGTAAATTAATTTTAAAATCGTTAAAATTATTATTTTTTACAATAATGCTTAAAATTATACATTTAAAAAGTAGCAGAATGCAACCAAGCTCATTTTAACTAAGAAATGGTTTTCAATTTTTTGAACAATACAAATTCTATCACAAGAGTATCTGTTCAAACATCTTTAATCCATTGAAATTAAGCAATTTAAATTAATTAAGCATTACCTTAAGACATATTTAATTTAATTTATTTTTTACTCAGTAATTTCTTTTCTATAAGAAAATTTTGGTGAATCTACAATGTAATAAAGTAAATAATAGTAATATCTCTATCTCAATGTATTTGTTTTATTTGATTTTTTTAAATCAAGCTAAAAAATTTGAACTTTAATTAATCTCAATTTATATTATATATTAATATAATAAAATATATTTTAGAAAATTCTTAAAATGATAGATCTAATAAAATCATTTTTACATAAAAATATTTTATGATGTTTATTTAGTTGAACCTAAAGTTCATTTAATTTGACTTGAAAATGTCAGACAGAAAAAGGTTCTAGCCAATGAGGTTTATAGAGAAAAAAATCAATTAATAAATGAGTAAGATGGCCAAGTTGGTCTTTTGAAAGGAATCTAAATCCAACAGCTAGATTTTATTCTCATTTTCTCTACGAGGTGCATTCTCACAGGAACCGGCCCCTAATTTCATCTGGATCAAATATGCCTTTAATAATATTCAAATCAACGCTAATATTTGAATTTAAATTTGTATTTGAATTATAGAGATTCAAATCATTTTATTTAAATTTAATTTTAAATCAAATTTAATATATTTAATTTGTTTATATCCCTATGTCTAAGGGATTTAAATTTGTTTAATTTGTTTAAATTATTTAAATTATTTAATTTGTTTAAATCATTTTAATTTGTTTATAGGGAGCAGGCCTCAAGGTCTATTTTCTCATTATCGAATCATGGGCTATTCTATTCCACAGTGGACTATTACACTGGTTTGAGAGGCCCAATCGGCTCTAATTAAAGGGGGAGTACGCTTCATATTAATCACATTACAAGCCCGCTTTATATCAATCACATTGATATTTTAGCTTCATTTATCATTCTAGACAAATTTTTACCACATATTTATTTTTTTATTTTTTTTTAATTTTGTAAGTCAAATATATCTTTGAAGATGGTGTAAATTTTTTCCACTCTAATAATATCAAAGGATTAAACAATATACTTCGTGCATTTCTAATACGATCTGTAATATAGTACAACATAAATCTATTAATGGGTGTGAAATATAAATATGTCGTAAATGATTTCTTTAAAACTTTCAAAGATAATCTCATTCAAAATGGTACTAAATTTATTTAAGATTTTAAGTTATATAAATTTTTTTACTCAACGCTAATTCCTTAAACTACACGCACCGATGATCAATGTTGGAGCCACCTTAAGGTAGTTGGGGACATGGCCTCTCATATCTTTTGCCTAAGTTATCCTTCATCCCCAATTGGATTCTATTGTCATTATTATGACTTCTTGATAACTTTTACTTTTATATTTCATTGATAATTTGATAAAATAAAATATTTTTTTCATTTTTTGTTTTATAGGGTTTTTATGTACTTTTTAATAGTGTAATTTATACTTCGTACTTTTTAAATCTATATTAATTCGTAATTTAAATGATTATAAAAATGATGAGATTTTATATGTGTTATTCGGACTATGTGTTAGAATATAAATAATTATTCCTGTGTCACAACCATAAGCTTGAACTTTTTTGGTTGAGTTGATTCCTTGACATGGTATCGGAGCCTTGTTGACTAAGAAGTCACAGGTTCGAAACTCAACGCCACCCGGCTTTAAGAAAATTAAAGTTTCATGTGCAAGGCTCGAAAAAGACTATGCATGCACGTGAGGGGGCGTGTTAGAATATAAATAATTGTTCCTAGACCACAACAACAAGCTTGAGCTTTTGATTGAGTTGGTTCCTTGACACTATGAGATTTAATTCGTATTTACTCCCTCCATATTTTACTTTTTTTTAAAAAAATCCGTTAAATCCAATTAAGATACTTTTTTTTGGGACAGAGAGTATTATAATTCACTATATATTTTTCATAATCTATAATCAAAGTTTAAAACTATGATCATATATATATACTTCCCCCGTCCCAGTGTATTTGTCCAGTTTGATTTTTTCGAGTCAAACGATTCATACACTTTCGAGATTGGTACAATGGTACCTTCGTGGGAAAAAACGTGCAATTCATACAAGATTGTGCACACCCCTACGGGTGTCGTGGTTGAAAGCCAAAGCCCGCTTGCATGCATGGAACAAGTCAACTTCTACTCCATATTTATAATTATTTCCTCCTTTTATTTGCTTTAACATATTATTCGTGGGAGTACTTCAATTTATTCTGAAAGATGAAATTCCCGAATTGCTTTATTAACATATTTGTGGAAGTACTTTATTTTTATTTAATTATTTTAAAATTACTTTGTATAAACTTTTATTCAATTCTTGTTATTGCTATTATAAAATTAAGTTGTGTAGAATTAGTTATAACATTTATATATTTAGAAGATATATTAGATTTTTTGGTGATTTGACAATTAATTCCAAAATTTTGGTTTTAAGTAATACATATATACATCACTTAATTGTATCGACGTGAAAATTATTACTACATAAGAAAAATGGGAAGGTAGTTTTAGGACGGAGAAAAAGGAAAAGTGAGAAGAATGTTTTAGGACAGAAGGAGTATATTTCTCCATCAATGTTTTTTGAGGATTTAAAGTTACTACTATTTTTATTTTGATGGTTATTTGATATTAAAAAGATATGAAAGATTTTAAAGGGTTTTTTTGTCAATAAAAAAACATGTGGAGTGCAACTAACATTTTTGGAGTGCATTTATCAATTCCCATTCATTTATTACAAATACAAAGAAAGTACTAACTTTTTTTTATTAACAAATCTACCCTGCTACACCCAGAAATAGCTAAGAGCCCTTTCACCCATCCCCTTCATTAATTAAGTGCTTCTAGCTACCCGGCCCATACTCACAAGTCACAACCGAGGTACCTAGCTAGTAGTCTTTATTTAATTTCCATAACAAGCTTTATGTTTTTTTTCATTAGCTTAATTAAGTTCCATCAAAACTTATTACTGAATTGGTATTACTCCCTCCGTTCCTTTAAACACTTCCTATTTAGACTTCGGGCCAAGATAAGAAAAGTATAATTTTAATGGACTTTTCAATTTTGCCTCTGATATGATAGATAAAAGTAAGATGTAAAAGTTTGGTTATTAGTGAAAAAGTATCATGTGATCGGTAGGGTATGAAAAAATAGGGGTAAAAGTGGTTTTTTAATATAAAGTGGAAGTGTTTTAAGAAATTGGATATAAACGAAAGGAGAAGGATTTTATGGAACGTAACGGAGAGAGTATTAAATATTGAAAGAAAATCCCTATATGTATAAGGATTGGAAGAGATAATGGTATCAGAGCTAATGTTTTCTGAAATCTAGACTCTTCTTTAAGACCGGACGCATTATCGATCTCTCACATTGTCGGTCTCTGTTCACAGCGTTGGATCAACCAAAAACATGGCATCACTGATCGATTTCGATGAGCGTGAATAATCACCGTCGTCCATTATCATTTCCTTTATCTCCAAAAAAATCATTAAATCCCTCTTTAAAAAAACACGTGGGTGATTGAATTAAGAACGAGAAAGTTGTAAGTGTACGTGTTTTCTAAAAGCTGAGAGCATGTAAAGCGATAGAGAAGCAGAGAATGTTCCGATCCAGAAGGAGAGAAATTACAAAAGAAACTCCTCGCTCTCGCTCCAATCGTTAACACTCTCACCCTGAACGAAACCCATCAAACGTAATTTTAAGCTTAGCTTGTTCATCATGCAACGAAGTTCTAACTCTCTAGTTCTAGAGGTTATCCTTACAAATCTGCTTCTGACAGCTCCGATATCATGATACAATTTGATAGTAGTTGATCTTATTGAACAATGAAGGACACATCTGTATATATAAGAGTTACAAGAGAATATCAAGGCCGACCTAGAAAGATGAAAAAATGAAATTGGTTCGGTCTGAAATTTACATTTTGGGTCCTATTTTATTACTCCGTATTTTAGAATACTTATACTTCAAAATTAATTTTTAATTTAAAAATATGGGGTCCTAAAGTTTTAGGAAATTGTGCGGTTTGCCACTTTGCACACCCTCCGGGCCACCCATGCAAGAGATAGTTCTGATATAAGAAGAAATAGAATTAATTTAACAATACAATAAGGAAATAGTACAGGAAAGTAATAAATAATAAAATGCTATTTCCTAACAGAATATTTTATAGAATAAATCTAGAAGTACACCAAAATGAGATACTCATTTGTACACCAGGTAAACAACAATATGTGTGTGTGTGTGTGTGTGTACACCTCCTTATCCATCACATCAAAAGATATTTTTGGAAAGTCAACACTAAAATACACCCACTTAAATCCTTTAAAAGTTAAAAGGGTGAATTTTTTAAAGGACGGAACTCACGGAAGGAGTATATATATTGGATGTGTATCTCTCTTCATTCTGGCTTTATAATATATATGATGATGATGCTTCATCGTCTTCATCGTCACCAACTCGTCGTCCTTGTTGTGGCCTTTGCCGCCACTACGATAATTTGCTTCGCCCAAGCCGCTCATCCCGCCGGCGGCAACAACAACAACAACTCTGCTGCTGCTGCTACTAGTACTACGTTGTTGAACCCCTCCTTTCTCCGCGACAACAAAGCCCGTACGTACCATACGTGTCTTATATGTCTATCTGTCTATCTATCTGTACATTTTATATACGTAGTATGTACTACGGTCTACGTATATTATGTGCGCGCACACACACACACATATATAGGCGTATTAATGTGCGTGGGTGGGTGGGTGGGTGCAGGGTGCTTGAGGGGAAACAGAGCATCCTATAGCTTTGTGAATGGCTCAGGGGACGGCATCACCAACTGGCTCGTCTTTCTTCCCGTAAGTAAACTAAATATAATTATATTAATGAAATGCATAAAATGATGAATTATTAAAATTACTGCTGGTGTAATTTGGGTTTGGTTATTAATTATTAATTAAAACCTGCAGGGAGGTGGGTGGTGCGAGAACTTCACGTATTGCTTGGACTACGGTTTCAATCGAAGCACACCCCCCATCCCATTTGCACCCTATAACTATACTGGTATAGCCAGCATCCACCAACTGGATAACCCAGGTGAGGTACACATTATTTCATTATTTATTTATTTACTTCCTCCGTCCCACTATATTTGTCCACTTTCATTTTTGCACACCATCCAATGCACTTCTTTAATCCATTTTATCTTGTAATTTGTATATTAAAAAATTATATATTAATAATCTATATGTTAAGACAAATCAAACAAGATCACGATGACTATATTTAGGCTTACACATTGAGAGAATTTGATGAGTCAAAGTGCTTAGATGAACAGTTTCAAAAGTCAAAAGTGGACGAATATAGCGGGACGGAGGGAGTATTTATTTATTTACATCCACATTATTATTACTATACTACTCCGTAATAATTAATGAGTTAATTACGTTGAATTTCCTTCCGATTGGGATATAATTAATTAATACATGCACTTAACAATTAATTACTCCACTAATTACTACTACTAATAAAGCTCTGTACGTACGTGTTTTACTACTACTCCGTATTTGTTAATCCAATCCGTATATAATTAATTATATATGTGCAGAATTCTACAACTGGAACAAAGTTGTAATCCGCTACTGCGATGGCTCCTCCTTCACCGGCAACTCCAAACTCTCTCTAAATGTAAGCTAATCACTTCTTAATTAATTACATACCCACACTATTACTCACACTAGCTAATTAATACTAATTGTACGTTTTTCTTTGAATTATTGACTTTCGTCGAAGAATAAAACACTATATTTCCGAGGAGCCAGAATTTTCAAAGCAGCAATGAAAGAGCTGCTACACAAGGGAATGGCTTCTGCTACCAATTTATGTGACAATTATTATTAATTAATTAATTACCCATCTCATTTCTTTATATAAAAAAATCAAACCAAATGTATAAATATATATATATATACTTTTCTTTGAAATAAATAATAATAATACGAGTATTTAAAATAATTAATGTGTGAGGAATTTACATATGTATAGGCTCTTCTAGCCGGGGAGTCGGCGGGAGGGGTTGCCACGATGCTCCACTGCGACAAATTCAGAGACCTCTTTCCCAGCTCCACTCGGGTCAAGTGCCTCACCGACGCCGGATTCTTTTTCCCCGCGTACGTGTCTTTCATTAACTAACTAACTAATTACTCCGCCCCTGATTTTTGTTACAATAATTATATGGATCTATCGGAGCTAGAGTATATATTAATTTTTATTTTTACATTTGCTTGTCTGATCAATAATAATATTCTTAACAGGAAGAGGCATAACTACTATGGGACTCATCAAAGCTATTTCCTATCCATCTTTCAAGGATTGATCCGATTACACGTACGTACGTATTCATCATGCATATACGTATATCTTTAATTTCTCTGTGTTTAATTATATTAGTCCGTATTTATCTTGTGCGTATTTTATTATTTACATGTGTGCTACTCACCCCACTAAATAAGTACTGATAATTAATTCAATCGCATTTTATTACTTGGATCAGCGGTCGGGCAGGGATTTGCCCAAATCTTGCACGCACAAAATGAGCCCAGCGTTGGTATGATTTTATTTTATCATATAATTATGAGAGTACTTTAATTATTACTACCTCTGTCCCACAAAACACTTCTCATTTCTATTAAAAAGTCACTTTTACCCCTTACTTTTTTCATACATAACTATCACATCATACCTTTTTACTAATAATCTATCCATCAAATCATACTTTTACCCATCACATCAAAGGACATTTTTGGAAATTCAATACCAAAATACACTCCCTTAAATCCCTCTTAAAAAGAAAATGTCTCATGTTTCCCTACTCACTCCACTAATTAAGTACGTACTGGTAATTAATTCAATCGCATTTTATTACGTACGTGGTTCATCAGCGGTCGGGCAGGGATTTGCCCAAATCTTGCACGCACAAAATGAGCCCAGCGTTGGTATGATATAATTATGAGAGTACTTTAATTATTAGTTATTAACTCGTCTTAATGATTTTACTTTGACTCGTTCTAACACTGTTTTTTTCTTCTTTCTTCGCAAGTGCTTCTTTCCCCAATATGTGGGCAAATCTATTAAGACGCCCATATTTTTCGTAATGTCGCAGTTTGACTTTATTGAGGTAAGTCAATTTCCTATTTGACCTCATCGAATCATATATACTAGCCTGTACATAGGTTTCTACTGTACGAGTGTACGTAATAGCTAGCAATATTTAATGATTTTAACTGTTTTGTTGAATTCATTAGACTTCGTATACAACGGGATTGGGAAAGTCTTATTATGAGGTTTGCGTGAGTGCCAAGAATTGTTCATCCACGCAAATCAAAATCATGCAAGGTTAGTATTTATTTCAAATCACAATATATGCACACTTCTATATATCTATGGATATAAAGTTACACTATTAATTACAGATCGAGTTTTAGAAAATGTGGCAATCTTTTCAAAATAAATGGACATTTTTGAGACTAGGAATATTGTTAATAACATATTGACATGTTAATTGCTTTGTTTTTTTTCGCTTTACATATAACCATCGTGTAAATACATTATTTTACTTGTTCTTATTACTACAGATTTGAGGAAGGAACTATTGGACGTGTTGCCAAAAGAAAGCAATGCTTCTTCTACTTCACCAAACGGATTCCTAATCCTATCCAATCCTGCCCATACACATCTTTTACAACCTACTTGGCATGATGGTGCCATTTCTCGGACTCAAGAGGTTGTAGGTTTAATTACTTACTCCCTCCGTCCCCCTGTATTTGTCCACATTTCACTTTTGAAACTGTTCATCTAAGCAATTTGACTCATCAAAGTCTCTCAATGTGTAAGCCTAAATATAGTCATGTGTGATCTTGTTTGATTTGTCTTAACATATAGATTATTAATATATAATTTTTATAATTTTTTAATATACAAATTACAAGATAAAATGGATTAAAGAAATGCATTGGATGGTGTGTAAAAATGAAAGTGGACAAATATAGAGGGACGGAGGGAGTATTAAACAATTTTTGAACAATTAAGATTTATCGTATAATCATTAATTAGCTTGATTTGATTCTGTTTTGGATTGAATAGACGATCGCGAAGCAGTTTGGAGACTGGTATTTTCATGGGAAAAGTGTGCGATTCGTACAAGATTGCGCAGATCCCTACGGTTGCAGTTGAAAGCTGAAGCATGGAACAAGTTAACTTCTACTCCGTACTTATTATTATTTTTCCTTTTATTTTCTTTAATATATGTCTCGGAGTACTCTAATTTATTCAGAAATAATGAAACTCCATAGTTGCACTTATTTTATTTTTATTTAAGATTAGTTTGTATGAAATTTTACTCTATTGTTGTTATTGTTATCTTATGAGTTGTTGAGAATTAATTAGAAAATTTATATATTTAAAAGTTATACTCCCTCCGTCTCATGAAACATATGAGACATTTGCTTTTTAGGAGGGATTTAAGGGGGTGTATTTTGGTATTGAATTTCCAAAAATGTCCTTTGATGTGATGGGTAAAAGAATGATTTGATGGATAGATTATTAGTAAAAAGGTATAATGTGATAGTTAGGGTATGAAAAAGTAAGGGGTAAAAGTGACTTTTCAATAGAAATGAGAAGTGTATTGTGGGACGGATAAGAAAAGAATGGGAAAAGGTTTCATGGGACGGAGGGAGTATGAAAAATTCTTATAAAGAGATTGACATGACTATATATGTCTAAATCAAAACTTAAGTCAATGGATGTCATATCGACATATCAATTGTAGAACTCAATTTTTATTCTTTCACTAATTTTAATTTCTTTAGCAAGTGTGTACCAGCATTACATAAAGATTGTGATATTTAGAGTTAATAGAAATTTAATTTTATTAATCAGTAAGTGAAAACAATATCAATTTTTAATTTCATTATATTATTCACTAAAGTGTGACAAACGAATTTTAATTACTCCGTATATATTTCATTTCAAAATCATAAGTTTGGAACAAACATTTAAATCACTTTTTGTTAGATACTACGTACATGACTTAATAATATAGATTGACATTGATTCCACACATGACCCTGACTCTCCTAAAAAATTCCAGTCTAAGGGCCTGTTCTTTAGGACTGGAAAAAAAGAGCTGGAAACTGGAAGAAACTGTAAAAAAAATGGAAGAAACTGGAAGGAACTGGAAGAACTGGAAGAAACTGGAAGGAACTTTAAGGAACTGGAAGAAACTGGAAGAACTGGAAAAAACTAGAAAAACAGGAAAAAATTAAAAGAAACTGAAAAAACTAGAATAAATTGTAAAATCTAAAAAAAGTTTTTAAAAAATTTTTATGTGTGGTTTTAAATTATTCTCATTCTGATTCTTGTTGATATAAATTATTATTATTATTGCTATTATTATTATTATTATTGTTGTTGTTGTTGTTGTTGTTAGTGGTGGTGGTGGTGATAGTGGTGGTGTTATTACGTTATCTAAATGGTTGTCTTTAAAATAAAAAGAATATTACGAATATTATTTTCATACATAAAAAGATAGTTTAAAAAAATTATTAGAGATGAACTAGCTCTTAATATTCTACAATGTAGTTAAACTTAATTGAAGGTACTATATTTTAGATTAAAATATTGATGTTTACCTTATATAAATTTAGATTAAAAAATATTCTACACCCTCCGTCCCAAATTATTTGCCACATTTGTATTCCCGAGGCAAAATATTAAATTTTTTCAATTCATTTTATTTACATATTGGTAAAGAAATAAAAAATAAAATTTACATATTAAAAAACTACATGAAAAGTTATTTGAAATAAGAGGTGTCAAGAATATTTTATTTTATCAAATAATCAATGAAAACATCAAAATAAACAAAAGTTCCCGCGAGTGTTGAAAAAGCAAATGTTGTGAATATTTAGGGACGGAGGGTGTATATAACTATTTAACCATAATTTTTTAAATAGTTTCCTATTTTTTCTTGTAGATTAATATACAAAAAAATGGTATTATTCATATTAAAAAGTTGAAGAAAAAAATAATGAATATGAATCATAAAAATAGTGAGATGACAAAATGAAATAATTTATAAACTATAGTTATCAACATAAAAGTTGTAATTATAAACTGTAAGAATAATAATAATAATAATATATTTTTTTAGAGTGATTTGTCAGAAAGTAGAAAGAATTTGAAGAAAATAAATATAGTTGGAAGAAATTAGAAGAAACTGGAAAAAACAAGAAAAACTGGAAGAAATTGGAAGAAACTGGAAGAAACTGGAAGCAACTGGAAAAAACTGGAAGAAACTGGAAGAACTGGAAAAAACTGGAAGGAACTGGAAGAAACTTGAAGAAACGGTAAGAAACTGGAAAAAACTGGAAGGAACTGGAAAAAACTGAAAATTAAGAGTTCAAGTCCAAAAGAACAGGCCCTAAGAGTCACTATCATTATATTTCAAGATCACAATCCATATATACCCACTAATTAATACGGAGTAATAACATTTTGATCCCAACGCTCTTAGGCATAGGGATGTACTCCTCATAGAGAGTACTCCATCCGTCCCTAAATAAACTTCCCCTTTTGTTTTTTCTTTGTCCCCAAATAAATTTTTCTTTTCCCTTAAAAAACCCCTTTTACCCCTTACTTTTTCATACCCTACCTATCACATCATACCTTTTTACTAATAATCTACCTATCACATCTTACTTTTACATATCACATCAAGGGCATTTTTGGAAAATCAACACAAAAATATCTCTCTCTTAAATCTTCAAAAAGTCAAAAAGGAAAGTTTGTTTAGGGACGGAGGGAGTATGATTTTGGACATTTGTTCCCCTCATAATCTGCATCCTTTGCTAAAAGTTGGGCGAAATTTACCCTACATCTACGTGGCCACACTTAGTACATACGGAGTATGTGGCAAATTGTTTTTTCCATATTTATAAGTGTGCCAAATAACAATTTTAAATGTGGTGAAATACCAATTTTTTTATAGTGATCCTCGATGTTTAAAATAGAAAGAAACTTTTCAAAATGGAAATAAACTTTTGAAAATGAAGCATGACAAAATGAATTACGTTGTAAATGCTTTACACTTTACATATGCAAAATGAAGTAAAATTCTATTTTTTTTTCAATTTATTTTATTTAAAGATTGATATATGAATATAAAAAAATTTACATATTTAAATAATCCATTAAAAAGCATAAATCAATAAAAGTTTCCATAATTTTTAAATAGTGAATTGTTTAAATCATTTAGGAACGGAAGCCGTATGATATTGGAACAAACAATTAAATCAATCACACTCTAGTTACAAAAGATTGATAACAGTTAAACCATGCTCAGAGTATTATATTCCATATAAGATCTATACACTTTAGTTGAGGCCTTGAGGGTGATATAGATCATTTTAGAATCATTTTATTATATCGATTGACAATTATGCCACACTTCATCCTGATTATCCCAAAAAGTTTCATCCCATGAGAAAGTATAATCATAATTTGGGAGCGTAATCCACACCCAGTAATAATAACAGTCTGATCCCAACGCTCTTATCTGCGAGCAACACTGAGAAGTGAGGGGTTCAAGTTTTCCAAGATAATTTTGATCGAAGCGCAACACATTAGGCATTATCACTTTGGTGCACTCTTTGGAAGGAGGGGTGTATGATTTTGGGCATTTGTTCCCCTCATAATCTGCATCCTTTGCAAATACCATTCCGCTGCTGCGACATGCAAAGAGTAACACTACTACAAATAGATGTGCCTGGGAAATATTCATTTTTCTTCTCTTTTATTTTTTCTTGTTCCTTTTTAATTCTCTTTCTTAACTTATTTATAGGCTTTATTATTGTTATTATTATTTTGCAAATCTACTCCTACCAGTTTCATTGCTTTAGTGACTTTCCATAATGCATGCATGCATCTCTATTGAAATAATAAAAAACTAAAACGGAGAATTAATGAATGCTTAAAATTAATCGCCGTGCGCAATTTTTGGATTATTAATTAGAGTATTAGCAAATGGCAAGACAAAAATGAAATACCGCACGGTGACGTTGACTATTTCAACCAATAAAAAATAACTCAGTCACCGTGTGGCAAACGAGTGGAGTGTCGTAACATGCAGTGTCTATTTTTGTACTTTTTAATGATTTTTAATTATCAAAAATTATTTTACACATTTATTTTATTATTAAAACATGTCCACTTCTTTAAAAAAATTCAAATATTAAAAATATTTAAAAAAATGAGGGGGTCATGCCTTGCATATAAAATGAAAAGTGGGGTAGACTGATCATAAAGTACAATAATTTTAGTGACATTCAATGCATTCCTTGCTATGGTGAATGCTCTTAGGGATATGGATGGTGCCACAACTTCACCTTTTAGCTTGCTTCACCTACACTTTCAATCAATAGAAGCACATCCCACCTGCCTCAATTATATTCATTTGCTGTTGGGCGTGAAGGATATTAATTAATTTAGAGAAATTTACTTAAATAGTACTCCCTCCGTCCCATAAAACATGGGATGTTTTGTTTTTTGAAGAGATTTAAGGGAGTATATTTTGGTATTGAATTTCCAAAAATGTCCTTTGATGTGATGGGTAAAAGTAGGATTTGATAGATAGATTATTAGTAAAAAGGTATGATTTGATAGGTAGGGTATGAAAAAGTAAGGGGTAAAAGTGACTTTTTAATAGAAATAAGAAGTGTTTTTTGGGACGGATGAAAAAAGAAAGGAGAAAGGTTTTGAGGGACGGAGGGAGTATTAAAATATACTGACTTTCTCAATGAATGCAGTATAAGTGTATACATGACATGCACATTCATTACAAATACAAAGAATTTATTCTCCGTTCTCAAAAACACTTCATGTAACATCTAAGCCCGCATAACCCGAAATGTGTATTAGCAAAATGGGTTGCTACTAAATTTATATCCCAAACACAACTTTTTTCCAAAACAATTCCAAATAAACACTTCAAAATATAATTTAACATCCATTGGAGTAATAACCAAAACATTTGCGGAAGTTTAAGTCATTATTTAAAACACAGCCTGAGGATCAAGCGCTTAAAAATAATAAGTCATTAAATAATACTCGTAAGTAATAACTCAAAATCCTTGAAGACAACCATGTCCATCTCCTCATCCTCATTGCCCTGCAGGATTGGCTCCAAGTTCATCATCTCCTAGATTACCTACGTGCAACAAAAGACAAATGTTACACGCTTAACATTGAAGTTAAGTGAAAAATATCTAAAATTTTGGCCTCACACATAAACGATCTCACTGGCATGTAACATCATATGATATAATGCAATTAACAGTCATATCAATTACATACACATGCATAAGGAATACGAGATAAATAAGATATTTACAGCACACATATCAATAAATTCCTGAGTTTTTGTTTACTTAGCTCATAACTCAATCTAGGTTATGGCTAGTTCTTGTTACTTTCTTATGGGAGTCATGACCTTTTCTTTTGGAACAAATGCCAAACTCAAAACAAACTTGGGAGTTCCTCATTGGGTTAGAGAGATCTCAGTCACAATTTAACTTTTTGTAATCTGTGTAACATTTTGACTATAAGTTAAATGTAATTTTAAATAATTAATTTATATAAATTTGATATATTAAAAGTATATTTTAAAACGGTCTTAATTTTACTAAATTTACATTATAATTAAATAAATTTTCTCTTATAAGTTATGATCAAAGTGCTATATACTACGTATATAATTTGACAAAAAATATCAAAACGTGTGGCAATTTCTTTACAATAGAGGGACTAAGAAAAATCCCGTCCTTCAATAAAATCGAGACGTGTAGAATTGCATACAGTACACATTTATTACAAATACAAAGAAAATAGAAATTTTTTTTAATTAGTAACTCGGCCCTGCTTGGCTTAAAATTAGCTACAAAGTCCTCCCCCACCCNCTAGCTACACTCCGTCAGTCCATCATAATTCATAACCAGACAGTTTTCTTTACTCTACACGCCTACTTTTGCTCTGCATGAATTACCTTTTACTCTTTTACTTTCTCCATTAAAAAACTTTAAAAAATATTTTACTTTAACAAATAAAAAGATTTATTTAAATTTAATAAAATAATGATTATTATGATAAAATCTAGCATTTATTAAAGTATCAGACCCTTAGAATATATTTCATATAATGTGAAATCTCATATCAGAAAATCAAAGGAACTCTAAAGCATATTTTAAATAATGTGAGATCTGGAAATTATTACTACAAAATCAAGGATATTCTATAGTAATTTTCTGTCATTATTGGTCGACATTATTTGTATATATTCTGCATAAATCTCTATTGTACGGAGTATAATTTTATACTCCCTCTGTTCCACAAAATCCTTCCTCTTTCGTTATTTTTGCTTTCCATAAAACACTTCTACTTTCTATTAAAAGCCACTTTTACTTCTACTTTTTCATACCCTACCTATCACATCATACTTTTTTCACTAATAACCAAACTATCACATTTTACTTTTTCCCATCACATCAGGAGCAAAATTGGAAAGTCAACCAAAATTATATTTTCTTTATTTTTCCTGAAAGTCAAAACTGAAAGGGTTTTGTGGAACGGAGGGAGTAATATTTTCTTAAACTTTTTATCTAAAAGAAATTAAACGAACGAGAATTATTTATTTTAGGGACATACTACGTAGTATGTAAGAGTTGGGAGCATATGGCCCTAATAAAGTTTTGTAGTAATAAGGTATGTAAAAAATTAATGTGATCCGGTTTAATTAGGTTAAATTTAATTTTTTGTTTAATTTTTTTAGTAAAATACTCCATGAATTTATTTGTAAATAATTAATGTTTTATGAAATAAAATTTCATATTGTCTATTTAATAATGTTTTACATTAAATAAATGTTTAGAATAAAATTCAATAATTTTTTGTCATTCCAATAGCCTTAAAAAAATCTGCAAGCAAGTAGGATATAGCCCCCGAACAAAAATCACGTGACCCCATCTAATTAGGTTAATTTTAATTTTTTGAGTAAAATATACTCCGTATTTTATTGCAAATAATTAATTTTTTATTAAAATAAAATCTTAGATTTTCTATTAAAGAATATTTTACATTCAATAAATATTTAAAATAAAATTCAATATTTCCCGGTCATTTCATAGAGCCTATTAAATTCAATATTTTTTATCAAATATTAAATTTTATTTTAATATCTAAATTGTTATTAAAGTCGTTATTAAAAATCAAATTTAAAACTAATTTTAAAGCACAAGTACTTTTAAAAAATAAAATAGGACCCAATAAATTTTTTTTGCCAAGGACCAATCTCATTTTTTCACATGTCTGAGCCGGACCTGCCACGTGTAATCACGTACGCAACTTGATCAATATGTTTAAAACACGTAACGACTATTTTCATATGACTCATGCATGAAGAGCGTCGAAAGTTAAATTGCTTAATTGCTATACTTCACTATATAAAAAGAAGTGCATAAAATTTAAATAGTCATTTTATTTTATTCCATTCTAAAAGAAAAAAAAGTAAATCTTTAATTCTATAAATGAGGATTGAGAAATGTGTATGTACGACCAGAGTAATTTTTAGGGAAATTTATCTAAATTGTATTAAAATATAATGAAATGTAGTACCATATCTTTTTATTTTTCAATGTAGTACCATTGGTCATTTTCAGGTAAATGTCCAAAGCCACTGGATTTTTTCCAAACTAAATGTCCGCCATCATTGACATTATTCCTATCACTAGTCATTATTCAAGTATTCCGTACTATTTAGAAAATAAAAATGTTTAAGTATTACATTAGGAAAACATATGTTTTAAAACTATTTAATGCAAATTTCACTAATATTTAAGGTGTTGATGGATATAAAAAAATGGAGGACAAACGAAATGTTAAAGCATATAAGAAAAAATTAAATGTTTACTCGGGTTCACATACATTTATTACAAATACAAAGAAAATAGTACTCGTAACTTTTTTTTCTTAGCAACTCTACCACCCTGTTACACCAAGAAATAGCTAAAAGAATTTACAAATACCTCTTTTGTTGATACACATACGAAAAATTTACACATTTACCAGGGTATTCATTTATTACATATACAACGAAGGTAGTAACTTTTTTTTAATTAGCAAATCTACCCTGCTACACCCAGAAATAGCTAAAAGTCACAAGTCACAAGCCACAACCGAGGTAGTAGTCTTTATTTCAATAACAAGCTTTATGTTTTTTTCCTTAGCTTAATTAATTAAGCTCCATGAAAAGTTATTACCGAGTGATACAATTTGATCATAATTGGTATTATTAAATATTGAAGGCAAATCCCTATGTATAAAGATTGCAAGAGATAATGTTATCGGAGCTAATGTTTTCTAAAATCTAGACTTTTCTTATAGAACTAAAAGTGCTACATTAGAAAAAAACACACACTCCCTCCGTTTGGAAAAAGTGTTCCTATTTTGACTTTGTGTAAAAATAAGGAAGTATTAAATTGTAGTTGACTTCTAATTTTGCCCTTGATGTGATAGAAAAGTAAGATGTGATGGATAGATTATTAGAGATAAAGTATGATGTGATAGGTAGAGTATGAAAAAGTAAGTGTAAAAGTGGTTTTTTTAATAGAAAGTGGAAGTGTTTTGTTGGAAGTGAAAAAATGAAAGAGGAGGTGTTTTAAAAAACGGAGGGAGTATATTAATGCTACTTGGAGAAAATCATTATGTTTTAGTGTTATTTAGATAAAAAAGAATTTACTTAAATAGCACTAAAACATAATGACTTTCCCTAAATAGCACTACATGTGTGTTTTATGTCCAATGTAGCACTTTTATTAGTCATTATGCATTAGTCATTATTCAAGTAAATATTCACCATCACTGGATATTATTATGTGCGATTTAGGAAATAAAACAATTTAAGTGCTATTTAGAGAAATGACTTAAGTTTTAGTGCTATTTAATGCAAATATATCTTAGGTAAATTCTCCCACATATAATATGTGTGTGCATATATATATATATATATATATATATATATATATATATATATATATATATATATATATATATATATATATATATATATATATATATATATATATATATATATATATATATATATATATATATATATATATATATATATATATATATATATATATATAGTCGCATGCATGGAGCCTAGGTAGCTACAAATTGAAGAGTTACGGGTTCATAAAGGACGTACTCTGATCTAGAGAGAGCTCTAGCACTACATATAAATACTCCGTATATATTATTGGATGTGTATCGATCGATCTCTCTTCATTCTGTCTTTATAATATATAATCAATCTCTTCCGATCCGATCCCCTATAGATAGATATAGCTAACTCAGCTCCATTATTATATTATTGCATCTTAATTCTCCACAAGCACGACACCGTATATATATATATATGATGATGATGATAAAGCTTCATCGTCGTCACCAACTCCATCGTCGTCCTTGTTGTGCTCCGTATGTATTATTTCTTAAATCCATCCTAAAAAGCAAATGTCTCATGTTTCACGGGACGGAAGGAGTATATCTTTAATGTCTCTGTGTTTAATTATATTACTCCTTATTTATATTATTTACATTTTCCCTACTCACTCCACTAATTAAGTACGTACTGGTAATTAATTCAATCGCATTTTATTACGTACGTGGTTCATCAGCGGTCGGGCAGGGATTTGCCCAAATCTTGCACGCACAAAATGAGCCCAGCGTTGGTATGATATAATTATGAGAGTACTTTAATTATTAGTTATTAACTCGTCTTAATGATTTTACTTTGACTCGTTCTAACACTGTTTTTTTCTTCTTTCTTCGCAAGTGCTTCTTTCCCCAATATGTGGGCAAATCTATTAAGACGCCCATATTTTTCGTAATGTCGCAGTTTGACTTTATTGAGGTAAGTCAATTTCCTATTTGACCTCATGAATCATATACTGTATATGGTACATACGACTATGTACGTATATATAATAACCCCGTTCATTTAAATCTTTCATATTTTGACTTTGGACCAAAATAAGGAAAATGTAATTTTAGTTGACTTTTCATATTTTGATTATTAGTAGAAAAAATATGATATGATAAGCATATGATATAAAAAAAATAAGAGTACAGGTGATGTTTTAACAAAAAGTGAAAGTGTTTTAAAGAATTGAAAAAAACGAGAGGATAATGGTTTTATTGAACGGAGGGAGTACCTATCAATATTTAATGATTTTAACTGTTTTGTTGAATTCATTAGACTTCGTATACTACGGAATTGGGAAAGTATTATTATGATTGCGTGAATGCCAAGAATTGTTCATCCACCCAAATCAAAATCATGCAAGGTTAGTACAGTATTTATTTCAATTCACAATATATGCAGACTCTATATGTGGATATAAAGATACACTATTAATTACGGAGTATTAGAAAATGTGGCAATACTTTTCAAAATAATCGGATATTTTTGAAACTAGGAATAATGTGAATCACATATTGACATGTTAATTACCCACTGTTTAATTACATTATTTTACTTGTTCTTATTACTGCAGGTTTGAGGATGGAACTATTGGACGTGTGGCCAAAAGAAAGCAATAATGCTTCTTCTACTTCACCAAACGGGTTCCTAATAATTAATAAAAAAACGTACGCAGGAAAGAAATATCCTGCATCACAGAGGCACTTCACTCGAGTAGAGTTCAGAAAGAGAGCTTGAAATTTGTCACGGTGAAGCATTATATTGTAGCAACACCTCCTGCTGACCTCCCAGCTAGAAGAGCATATACCGAACATTCCAAAACTATGAATGTGTGTGTAGATTATAATTAACCCGGGTGGGGGATTTCATTAATATACACTGATACACATGTATATATGTATGTGCTTATATTTTGAATTTTTTTGGAATTCCCAGTAAAAGAGGATCCATCACACTATCTTACATAGACTCTGTTCCAGTTGTAAAAATCTGAAACATCTAACAAATAAAACACAGAGACGAAGTAATTAGTTAGGCACTAAGAAAACAATAATTAGTACAGTAATTATTTCCTCAATCATATTAAGTACTCTGTATGTAGTAATTAAGTACCTGAGTTTACTGCACTAATTATTGTTTTCTTAGTACCTAACTAATTACTTCGTCTCTGTGTTTTACTCCGTATTTGTTAGATGTTTCAGAATTTTACAACTGGAACAGAGTCTATGTAAGATACTGTGATAGATCCTCTTTTACTGGGAATTCCAAAAAATATCAAAATGTAAGCACATACATATATACATGTGTATCAGTGTATGTTACTGAAATCCCCCACCCGTGTTAATTATAATCTACACACATATTCATAGTTTTGTTATGCTAGAAAATTTTCTAGTTTCTGGCTGCTTAAGATACCCAAAAAATTGTCTGCTTAAGATCTCCATTTTTTTCAAGTGCCTCAATCATTTTTCATGCCCAATACTTGATGAATAATATCTTTTAAAATATATATACTCCTTATTAGCAATAAATTATTAAAATGAAATGCTAAAAGTATGTTTTTGATACAAATATTATGGTAAAAGTTTAAATTCAATATTTATTGTAAACTACAGAGTATATTATTAGTCAAATGTCTGACACAAAAAAAATGAAGAACGTTGAAGTACGGAGTATATTATTAGCCCAACAGTGTCAAGTATGGAGTAGCTCAAAAAAAAAAGTTACTCCGTACTATTTTCAATGAAATGGGTGTGTACGCATTTGGACCTTGCTTCCACTTCTCTGCCAATATAATCATTCAAGGGAGGGACTTTCCGTTCTTCCTCCGTCAAACTCAATCCAACGTCAACTCCATCTTCTTTCTTTCTTCTTTCCCCTCTTCTTCTCTCGACCTCTCTCTTCTCCTTTTTCTCTTCTTCTTCTTTTTCTCTTCTTCTGCTCTTCTTCTTCTCCCAACAGTCCTGCAGGAGCGCCTACCCATACACACAAGTCCAAATTTAATTTTTCATAGAATTCCTAGATTTTGCAGCAAAATTAGCAGCAAAATTACCAAAGGCCCAATTTCAAGAAAAAAAAAAGAAAACTAGAAAATGGCTTTATCTTCAAACTTGCTCCGCTTTCTTGGTCCACTACTGCATATGATCCTCTCACTCTTTCACTCTCCAAAGCAAATCCCACCCTCTTCCCATAAGTAACTCACTGAGCTAAATTTTTTCCCTGGGTTCATCTTCTTTTGAAATTTTTGATTTTTTTCTTTGATAGAAAAAACATGGGATTTTTTAATAGTTAATTTGAGGTTATATCGTTCAGGTACTGTGATTTTGAATTCTGAGAAATGGGTGCCCCAATTCCACCTCTAATCTGGAATTCTGTGGGAATAATAATAATAGAATAAAAAGGAATTCAAAAGGAAAAACAGAAGAAGAACAAAGGGGTTGGGGGGGTTAGATCTGATCGCAAGGTGGAGAAGAAAGAGAAGAAGAAAGAAAAGAAGAAGAAGAAGAAGAAGGGGGGAAAGAAGAAAGAAGACGGTGGATTGGGTTTGACGGAGGAAGAACGGAAAGTCCCTCCGTGGTCACTTTTTTTATATTTTAAGGTACCTCACGGTACATTTTGAAAAAATAAGGTACCTAGTAGTTATTATCACCAAAATATAGGGTACCTGTCAGCAATTTTTTCAATCATTCACCACAATTCAATGAAAGTAATTATTCTACCTACTATTTATTAAAGTATCAGAAGTTTTATTCTTAATGTCCAAATAGTCGAAATGCACTCTTAGACTAGATTCTCCCTAATTGTAAGGACTCTTAGAATATACGGAGTATTTCATATTTTGTGAAATCTTAGAAATCATACCAGAAAATCAAAGATAATCTAAAATATGTTTCAGATAATATGGAACGTGGGAATTATCACTACAAAATCAATTACTCCGTATATTATTGCAAATAATTAATTTTTTATTAAAATAAAATTATACATTTTCTATTAAAGAATATTTTTCATTCAATAAATGTTTAAAATAAAAATCAATATTTTCAAGTCATTCCATATAGCCTATTAAATTCAATATTTTTTTATCAAATGGTATCAAATATAAATTTTTATTTTAATATCTAAATTGTTAAAAAAGTGGTTATTAAAAATCAAATTTAAACTAATTTTAAAGCACAAGTACTTTTGAAAAATAAAATAGGACCCAATACATAAATTTTGCCAAGGACCAATCTCATTTTTTTACATTTCTGGGCCGGGCCTGCCACGTGTAATCATGTACGCAACTTGATCGATATGTTTAAAACCCGTAGCGACTATTTCCATGTGACTCATGCATGAAGAGCGTCGAAAGTTAAATTGCCTAATTGATATACTTCACTACATTAACACTATGTTTGGTTCAAGGATTTTGGCTGGGAAAATAAAAGAAAATAGGAGGGAAATGTTTTTTTATGTTTGGTTAGTGAGAAAAGGAAAGGAAAAGTGAGAGGAAAAGAAAAGTGGGGAGAAAATGGATTAAAGAGAGGCAAAATCATTTTCCTCCCGATTTTGGACGGAAAACGAAAGAATCCATCGCTCCCGTCTCTGAAACCTTCGCTCCCGTCTCTGCCATGTCTTCTCGCCACCAAAATATGGCCCATCTCTCCCGTCTCTGAAACCCAATCATCCCCTCATCAAAATATGGCCCTTCCCATAGCTCCATCCCCTTCCAGCAGCTCCAGGTTTCCCACCAGTTCCTCTTTGATGGATTTATCATCTTTTGTTTTATATAACCATGACCTCACACTGTCATATATCTGCACAATTACACCAAATTTTTTTCTAACCAACCAAAAAGAGCTTGAGAATACATTTTCTTCATCAATTTCCATCTTAACCAAACATAACTAAAATTTTGAGTTTCTTAGCTTTCCTTTTCTTTTCTTTTCCTTATCATTTTCCTTTCTTCCTCAATTCCTTGAACCAAACATAGTGTAAAATGTTGGAATATTGGAATAATAATATTGCTCCTTGAATTATGAAGTACATGATAGAGTATATATAAGAGAGACTCCTAACACAACTAGGAATAGAGAATGGAAACTAACTAACATACAACATCTACCACAAATAGGATTAGGAAGCCGACTAATAATGAAACACTACCATAACCAATACTACAAGAAGTACTACTCCGTATTATTATTATTGTCTAATATCCCCCCTCAAGCTGAACTCTGGCTGAAGCAAGAGGAAGCTTGGACACTAGCTGGAAACTGGAAACTTTGAGAAGAGAGAAGTCTGACATACGCCGGTGGCTGCTCACGTCGTTGGAGAAGAGAAAAGTGTGGCACGCGCCGGTGGCTGCTGACGTCGTTGGAGAAGAGAGAAATTGACGTGCGCTAGTAGCTGCTGACGTCGGTGAAGAAGAGAGAAGGTTGACGTGCGCTTGTAGCTGCTGACGTCGAAGAAGAAGAGAGAAGGTTGACGTGCGCTTGTAGCTGCTGACGTCGAAAAAGAATAAAGAAGGCTACTGGAGATGCCTGTTTGACTGAAGATCCTTGACATTTTTTGTCTTTTTCTTGGATCCGGGCAATGCCCTATTTCCTTCTTGAAGGGGTGAGTTGTAGAGGTCTTATTTCCTCTTTCACTACTTCCCCTCTTTCACTACTTCCCCTCTTTCACCAGTAGGTAATCAGAGTCAAGATGAATCTGGACCCAATTCTAGAGGGTGGTGAAGACGAAGATATGTGCGTGGGAATTTTTGAAGACTTGAATTCTTATTTTTTTCCCTTAATATATAACTTATGAAATATTTGCACTAAATAACACTAAAACTTAAGTCATTTCTCTAAATAGCACTTAAATTATTTTATTCCTTAATAAGTAGCACTTAATAATGTCCATAATGTCTAGTGATGACAAATATTTACTTGAATAATGACTAATGCATAATGACTAAAGTGCTATATTGAGAAATAAAACACATATGATACTATTTAGGGAAAATTATTACGGAGTATGTTTTAGTGTTATATACATAAAATCCCCTTAACTTATTACTTTTACGAGTTTGATTCCTAAGTCATGATTTAAATGTTGACTTAAGCTTTTGCACTGTTTTTAATTACTCTGATGAATGTTTAAATTATGCTTTGGATTATTTATTTTAAATTGTTTCTAAAATGATTCGTGTTTGGATGCCAATTTTATAGCAACCTGATTCGCTGAAACATGTATTAAGGTTATGCTGGTTGGGGTGTTACATTCACAATTTACATATGTTAGATTTACGGAGTACATACAATCAGACACAGAGCGGCCTAGCGTGGGATGAAACACCTACACTTATCGTCATACACACATACTAGTCTCGGAGTACATTCTCGACGATTAAAATAGAAACAAAGTTTTCAAAACAGAAACAATTTTTTCAAAACAAAGTGTGACAAATGAATTACGTTCAAATTGATGATTACACTTTATACAAAACAAAGTAAAGTTCCAAATTTTTTCAATTTATTTTATTTGAAGATTAGTATAAAAAAATAAAACTTTGATGTTTAAAAAATACATAGAAAGCTATGATCTACAAAACAAAAGATGATAAAAATATTTTATTTTATCAAATAATCAATGAAAACATACAAATAAATAAAAAATCTCACGATTTTTAAATAGTAAAATATATAAATCATTTAGGGACGGAGGGAGTATAATATTAGAACAAATTAAACAATTAAATCATTCACACTCTGGTTGCAAAAGATTGATAACAATTAAACCATGCTTCGAGTATTATACTTCGTATAAGATCGATATGTATACACTTCAATGGAGGATAGTATACATCACTTTATTATATCGATCGACAATTATTCCACACATCATCCTAAGAGTCCCAAAAAAATTCATCCCATGAGGCTGTATAATCGTAGCTTGGAAGCGTAATCCATACCCAATAATAATAACAATTTGATCCCAGCGCTCTTATCTGTGAGCAACACTGAGAAGTGAGAGGTTCAAACTTTCCATGATAATTTTGATCAAAACGCAACACATTTCACATTATCACTTTAGTGCACTCCTTGGATGGAGGGGTATATGATTTTGGGCATCTCTCCGGACTTTCGACTTCATCATGCTTTGCAAGTATTGTTGAGCTGCAACATGCAAAGAATAACATCACTACAAACAAATGTTCTTTGGAAATAATCATTTTTTCCTCTCTAATCTCTTTTCTTGTTCTTCTGATCTTCAATTCTGTTTCTTCTCTTATTTATAGGTTAAAAATTTGTGATGTAGTATGGATTACTGGATTGGATAATAAGACATTTGAGTTGAACCACATACATTAAAAGATTGGTAACACAATCTGTTACTTAGGTCATTAATAAGCTTTATTATTATCTCCGTATTAGTTTGCAAATCAAGACTAATGCATCGTATCAGTTACATTCCTTTTATGTCTTTTTATGATACGTCTCTTAGTGAAATAGAAAATCATAATGCGTGATTAATAATGAACGTTTAAAAATCAATCACCCTAATTTCACGAGTATTAATTAGGGAAATGAATCTTGCCAGAGCTTCACCTTTTGCTTCAAATACATTTTCAAATTAAAATAGAAGTTTGCATTGTAATAATGTGTCATTGTAATGATTGACATTACATTTACATTGTAACTCTTATTTTAGAAATAAAATCATGAAACTCTTACATTGATATGTTTTCTACTCCGTATATAGTAAAATCCGATGTGAAACTACTATGAAAAAAAGCAAATTGGCTACTCCATTTGCATTGGCTCCACTCAAAGCCGATGAAAATGGGGTTAAGGATTACACCCACTAGTTTTGTTTGGCATGAGTTATTAGTAATAACTGATGCAAAAGTACTTAATCTTTTGACAAAGAATGAATGATGGATAGAACCTAGGGAACAATGGTGAGCGGTGTTGGGTTCCTTCTTCTCGCGTTATGCTCCGATGCTTCCTATGTTTCGATCGGCGAAAAGGAAACAAGAGAGAGAGAGAGAGAGGGAGGAACGTGATTTGTGCGTGTGTATGGGGCAGAGTGTGTGTGGAAACACATACTGTCTATTTCTGGTCGTAGGATTTTGTTCTCTGTAATTTAATTAACATACCTTGATATAGAATTTTTTTCATAACAATTTACTCCAAATTCAAATCTGTTTACATCGTTGGATTTGTCTCGTCGAATCTTACACTATGATATCTGTCTCAATCATTAATTAATTACTCTGTTTCTTATTGCCAAGATTACATAAACTAAGATTTTTTATCTAATTGACAAGAGATTTTTTAAAACCCATTACACCTTCTTCATCCTAGCTATGCAAACATATATGGCCTATAGAAAAGACATGATGAGAAGATTGGAGATGCCAATTAGAGAAGAGCTTTGTATCTTATACTCCTATTAAAATCATCTTTAGTGGAAGTGCTTAAAGAGGAGTTTTTTGTTAAGATAAAATTCCTTCATCAAACAATTTTCTAAAGTCTAAAGTCTAAAGTCTAAACACATTGTACCAGTGGCGGATCCAGGATTGTGAATGACTGGGGGCAGTATAGCAAAGCGGGGGTTCGGGGCCAGAGCTCCCGATTTTTTTTAAAATGTACTTTATATCATGATTAAAAAATTAATTTTATATCAAACAAATTTAAAATAAGAAAAACAAAATATTTTAAAATTAGTAAAATTATACTTCCTCCATCCCAATTTAATTTATAGCGCCTGTTTCGGTTTACGATGTTTGACTGAAAATCATGGCCACGCGGTTGACATGGTCCTCTAATCAAATATTTTCTTTTTATTTCATCTCTTTGATTAGGGTGATACTCTAAAATCTTTTTTCTGTCTGAAGGATCCCTTTAGCTATTGAAGGTACAGATGGTCCAGAATTATGTGTTGTCGGTGTTGAGGGGGACTTCCGTTTAAAAAACTTCTCCTTTATCTAAAAACATAAAATGAAATATACTTTTCTACTAAATCTGTCCAAAAATTAGAGAAAATTATTTAAATATTTCAATTGAGAATTAATATATTTTTAGAGACTAAAGTCATCAATTCATATGTTTTGGGACAATTATAAATTATAATTAATAATAATCAAGAATTCAACATTAGAAACAATTTCATCAAATATAAAAACAAATTATTCAAAAGGTTTCACAAATTACACAAAAATCTAATTTTCAGATTTACCTAATTATTTAGTTCATAATTTAAAAAGGAGACAAAATTATTTGGAAATACCTGGTGCCTGGTAGCTGGTGCTCGACTGCTCGGTGCTGCTCGACGGCTACGCGGCGGACTGTTCAGGCTGTTCGGCAATCAGCAGAATCGGTCTTCAATTGCTCCGCTCCTCTTCTCGATTTCTCCAAAAGCAAAGGGAAGGGGAAATTCTTTTTAATTTTTGGGAATTTGGATTGGGCTAATTTTGGATTGGGTCTCTAGCCTATTTAATTGTTTTGGGCCAGTGGGGGCAGATTTTTTTTAATTGGGGGCAATTATATATAACATTAAAAATATACATATATATATATTTTTTAAAACAAATTCACTGGGGGCAGCTGCCCCATATGCAATGCTGTAGATCCGCCCATGCATTGTACCAAGGATGCTCTCAAGTCCCTTTTTTTTTAATAAAAGTCTTAAATCGGGGTCAGTCTAAAATGCACGAGAAGATGAAGGGCGTATAAGAGAAATACTTTCCGCAGTCCCATGTTGAAAAACGACGACAAATCAATCACCGGGGTCCACCACCCCACTGTTTGGACCGCTCAAAGGAATAGTCGTCGAGTACACACACACACACTGCACAGTGCACACAGCTAAGGAGAAAATTCTAGAGAGAGACTGCAGAGGACTCGATTCTCGCCGGCGGCAGCGGACTTCTCAGAGTTTTGATCGGCGATGGCTTCCTCCTCCGACCGCGAGACATTCGTTTATGTCGCGAAGCTTGCCGAGCAAGCAGAACGATACGATGGTAAGTTAGGGTTTCATGTTTCCTCATTCGATCTGTCTGTTTCTTTTACATTCATAGATCTCAATTTAGGGTTTTAATGCTTTTAATTGCGCTGAAATTTCCTTCTTGAGTTGGAAGATCTTATGTCCCCACTTTAAAGCCGGGATAGTATCATAAGATCCTCTGTCTTTGGTTGCAATTACCGTTACAGTAAGATCTTCTGTTTCCTAGTTAAGGAAAACTGCAGTTTTTTGCTTATTCACTGCACTCCAGTGGTTGGAGTGGGTGTACTCTATTGAGTGGCAATGGGTAGGACCTCGGTTCAAAGGGAAGGTACCCTATCTTTAATTGTCATTCTAGATTGCTGAAAATCTAGCAAAAACAACAACAGACCTAGTTTAATCTGGTTGTTCCGGATAGAACCTCGGCTCAAAGGGAAGGTACCCTATCTGGTCAACTACAAACTAACCCATGACTACAAGTCCTTGGATTATGAATTATGAATTATGATGACCTATAAGATAAAACTCGGAATTGACACCCAGTTGTACATTTCCGGTCCCAATCTCTTTTTACAAAGTCCCATCCTAATTCATTTATTTTTAGATTCCAAATCTCATCTTGTCTCATTTCTGAAATGTTTTGCTACATCCTATCCTTTTTGATGATTTCATCTTGTCCAATTTACCAAGTTGCTCGTTTAAATCCATTTAGAAAATGGTTTGTTACCTCATTATATTTATTTTCTATGTTGCTACTTCAGTGTATGTATGTTTACGAGGCTATAGATTTTACTCACAATTCACATAAATATAAATTCTATTTGCACGTGTTACGGGAAGCGTGTGCACACAATGCCAATGCAGGTCCACATCCTGTTTGGTTTAAAATTGTTTTCACATCCATCCTACTAAATTTTTAAACATTAAACCAATCATATTATCCTGCTAGGGTTGGACAATTAAGGGTATCATAGTATTATAAAATATTGTCTTCCTTACCTCCTTAATCTAATGCGATTCAATATGAAACATGGTACTCAATAATGGCAGAGATGGTAGATGCCATGAAGAGTGTGGCAAAAACTGGCGTTGAGTTGACAGTAGAGGAGAGGAATCTACTCTCGGTTGGGTACAAGAATGTGGTTGGAGCCCGGAGGGCATCTTGGAGGATTTTGTCCTCCATTGAGCAGAAGGAAGAGTCAAGAGGGAATGAGCAGAATGTGAAGAGGATCAAAGAGTACAGGCAGAAGGTAGAAACTGAGCTCTCCAACATTTGTGGTGACATCATGACTGTGATTGATGAGCATCTCATTCCTGCATCTTCTGCCGGAGAGTCAACTGTGTTTTACTACAAGATGTGAGGGGATCATGCCATTTTTTTGTTCCATTTTTACTTCTAAATTTTTTAATAGTTTTTGAACTTTGATTTGTTCAACTTATCCTTTTAATTCCAGGAAAGGGGATTACTATCGGTATCTTGCCGAGTTCAAAACTGGCAACGACAAAAAAGAGGTGGCTGATCTTTCTCTGAAAGCATATGAGGTATAAATATTATCGCTTTCTCTTTTAGGATATGTTTGGATCATTGGAAATTCTCGGGAAGGGGGAAATCCAAATTCTACAAATGTCTAGAAATATTATCTTATTGTGTTTGTTACTCTTTCTGTCCTGCAAAAAGGCCCCACAATGGATTCGGCATGGTTATTAAGGAAAATGAAATTGTGTGGTTGAATCTTTTTTTGGTGTAGACGAAATAAATGTGCAAGTTCTCTTTTATGAGAAGGAAGTTGTATAATCATAAAAAATGCAAATAAACCAAAAAAGTACTCCATCTATTCCACTATTTTTTGGGACATGGGATAGTGGTACGCAAATTAAGAAAAGTGAATTTGTGTTGTTGATATTGATCTAAAAAAGTAAGAAATAAGATTGAATGTTAACTACACAACTACCACAGGGTACTTAATATGACATGTGATTTAAAATAGCGGGACAAAAAGGTAAAGAAGTATGAAAATATTGGGACCGTGGGTTGTGTGTGGGGAATCGGGGGTATTTTTAAAATTGTAGCCCATATTTAGATAATTTACACATCTGTTTAGATATTTTAGTCTGTTTCATAGAAATAAATAAGTACAATGAGTTCAAAAAAATAGCCAGTACGCCAACATAGTTTTACTTGGGTCTGAGTCAAATTCTTCCTTATTTCCTTTCCCTAGTGTTTTTTGAGCTCTAAACAAACTCTCAAAGGTTATGCAATTTTCTATGTTCATTATCCTTTCATATATTTCCAACTTAAATTGTGATAACAAAAACTGGTCTGCCATTATCAAAGGAGGATGTTGTGATTGTTTATAAACTGGCTGTTTTATTTCATAATTGTGTAACTTTATTATTTGACTGCTCTACTCATAGGTTGGTTCAAGGTTAAAAAAAGGTCTCAAAATTGTGTTTCATTGTTTCTTCTTCCTACTTTTCCTGTTTGATTGTTAATATTATTCCTCTGATTTCTTGTAGATGGCTACCACTTCAGCCGAAGCTGAGTTATCACCCACGCATCCCATACGACTGGGACTGGCTTTGAATTTTTCAGTTTTCTTTTATGAGATCATGAACTCCCCTGAAAGGTTCCTCTGCCTCTTTGCAATTGTCCTCTCGAGCACTAATATTTTGAATTACTGAACTTGTCAAGCATGTCTTCTTTGAGAACACAGTTCTTGATCTTATTTAAATGAAGTTGCATTCATTTTGTTTTTATGCATATTTTTAGGGCATGCCACCTGGCAAAGCAGGCCTTCGATGAGGCAATTTCTGAACTGGATACTCTGAACGAAGAGTCCTACAAAGACAGTACGTTGATAATGCAACTTCTAAGAGACAATCTTACCTTATGGACATCTGATATCCCGGATGACTTAGGTAATGCATTCCCGTCTTATGTTGGAAAGATCTTAAGTTCTTAATTGTATGTAATTAAGAACTACATATTATTTGGTACTCGTGTTTTTTAATGCATTCATTGAATTTGCTTATAGTAACTTTTTAAGTTGATTTACTTGATTCAACCAATGCAGACAACTTTTAACATGCCAAATTGGCTCTTAGTTCAAAAAATTTTACAAGTAGGATTTCAACTCATATTCTATTTCCCTGTTACGTATTTATTTATGATTCGTTTTTTTCACAGAAGATGCTTCTAAGGGTGAAGCTCTCAACAAAGTTAGCGGTGGTGATGACGCAGAGGTGGGTGTGTTGTAATATAATCACTCTGTCCCTAAATTGCACTCACACTTCCCTTTTTTGGCCTTTACTTAATAAGTGTTCAGTGTTCACAATCCCATATTTGGAGCAAAAAGTTTGGAATTTTCTTCTCCCTTTGTTTAATATCCCCACCACTAATATGAGGGCAAAGGTGAGACTAAATAAGAGCTAAAAAAGTTTAATGATGCTGAGTCAACCTATGAATGTCATTTAGGGATGGAATGTGCATTTAATGTGTCATTAAGTGACAAGATTTGTTTTAAATGGATAAAAAGTACCTTGTTGAAAATAACTCTCTTACCCTTTGTTGGTTGCAGTGAATGGAGGAGACAAGTGACTTCTCTGATGTGTATTTGGGTAGGAGAGGACTCGATGGCTCATTGTGGGGACATGTTTGTGTTTGTTAAACTGTTATTATTATCATACATACTGATTGTTGGTGTACCTTTGTAATAGCTCTGCTTGATGTTTTTACTTGGGAGCGAACGTGTGGTTTGATTTGCCACCACATTGCCTTTTTTTTCCTCTCCGTAAAATGAATGTCTTCTATACATTCTAGACTAGAGAAGATTTGTTCTGCATGTTTGGTGGTTTTGTTTTCAGGCCATTGCAGCAACCCAGACTAGACCTTCATATGTTTGATCCTCATTCTATAAACTTTTCAATCATCTCTCATGGTTTGATTTTGATATTGTGAATGATTAGTGCTGATCGCTTTTGTTGTGGAGTTTATTGCCATTTCTGTGGCGGTTTAATGCATGTTTTTTTAAACTATGAAGGCAAATTTTAGAATGTGCTTTCAAAACCATACTTTTAGAACAAATACTCCATGTGTACCTATAAATAGTTGTGCTATTGTGATCTTAAGTTCCACAAACAAAAAGTGAACACTCTCATATGATTTGCATTAGATCTCTTTCTAATAAAGTCTACTTCAGATGTCCCATTAAATGAGTATAGACTAAGGATCATGAAAGAGTTTCACTTGTGAAATGAAAAAATTGCCTATATCTTAGATTTGAGAATATTATGGAACGAAAGTTTTAAGGAACATTCAGAATTTCGGAGTCATATTAAAAAATTAGAATAATGAATGGTCAAACATTCTTTCCGAATGTGTTCCTTATTTTCAATCTCGTGTTTCGAATGACCCATATATTCTACAAGTACTCCGTAATATTTTCAACATTTAAATAAAATTTTGCATTGAATTAGAATGTGATTTTATTTAATTTATTTTTCTAATAAATATATGAAACATCGTATAAATTTTATGATTGCCCCAATATATTTGAAATAAAAAATGAAATTTTAATAGTGATGTGCATTTATTAATATACTTATATAAACCTTTGTTTTAGAAAAAACTAATAGGAGGAAAAAATGGTGCGTAATTATAAAAATTTATATCCACCTGTTTTTTTATAGAGTTTAAAAAAATAACTACACTTGTAGATATAATAGAATAATTTATACAAATTCATGAAACAACACCTGTTTTTTTAATAATGAATTTATAGAGTTCTAAAAAATAACTACACCTGTTTTTTTATAAATAATGAAACAATTGTGTATCCGCAATAAAAACACATTCGTGTAGATATAATAAGAGAATTTATACAAATTAATGATTATTGAATAAAAGAATAATGAAAATTATTTTAAATAATAAAAAATTAAAATAAAAGATGGCAACTTAAAAACACACATGTGTGTACTATGTAAGGAGTATATGTAATGTAGTATATTACAAATAATAAAATAAATAGTGAATAATTTTTAAAATATAGGAGTAGGTGATCATAAAAACTAAGTAAAGAACTCATCAAAACCCAAACGTATTTTGTGGACCGATGCAATTAGCTAGATTTAACAACCTACAGCAGATTAAATGATTATTGAGATTCCATGGCAACGAAATCTAGATGAAATTCCAATGCAGAAACACATCATAATTTCATTCCATCTATTGCAATGGATTAAGCTTTAGCTTGATTAGAAGTTTGAGAATGGAATTGAACTGACCGCCTTCGCCGTTGTGTTAACAGTTGAAGAATTATCTGCAGTATCATCACTGCTCCTGAAATGTGTGGGCGGAGCTTTGAAGTATATCCTTCAACATTCTCTTTCTCTTCTTCCCATCAGGCTTCTTCCCGGATTTCCCTGCGCCGCCGGTGATCGCCGATAAGCACGAACCGACCGATTTCTCTGCATCGCCGTCACTTCCCGCCGGCAGGGCGGGACTGGCCTTCTGTTTCTTCTTCTCCGTCCCGTTTGTCGAGATGGCCAGATCTGGATCCTGAACTTCATATCTCTTGAACTGGATCTGGGTGGATACGCGGTTGCCTCCGTTGAAGGTCTGGAGAGAAGTGACGCAGCACTCCTGCCATTTGAGAGCAGCAAGGTCCTCCATCACCTCTTTCACTGTCAAATCCACATGAGATGAAACGCCCTGTTCTTCCAGGGTTGACCGCCCAAGCCCTATGAGCTCCAGTGAATCCACGGCCTCTAACACGATGTTCTGGAAACATAATTTTTGAAAATTAAAATTGAAAATTCGATGTGATCTCAGATTTAGATGAGCATTGCATTCCGGATTTGTGTCTACCTTGGAAGTTTTCTGCAATGGTTGGAATCCATGCATGTCAACAATCTGGAAAAATCAACGAATTCGTGAATCGCGCGATGACACAGTGCCGATTCCGAATTTCTCATCATCGCAAAATTCTACAACTCGGTGAACTACTTCACTCGATAATTACAGATTCAAGCGTCAATCGAGCAGAAAGTTAGAATAATTACACCAGTAACCATAAAATATTAAGGCGAATTCGAACGCAATTCTACAGATACCAAATGCCGATCGAGAAGAAGCAGTGAATAAATGCAGAATCAGTTGCAGCGAGCACGCTCGCACATATATAAAATTGCAATTACGATGAAGAAGATGATGATGAATTATATGAAAGGAGGAGGAGGAGGACCTCTCTGAGATGAGCGACGATTAGGTCGAGCTGCTTGTTGCTGTCAATGAAGTTCAGGTACTCCTCCACCGTCAGTTTCTCTTTAGCTTTGGATGCTCCGCCTCTTTCCACCTTCTCGACTATTCCGGAGTCCGCCATGGCTGAAAGCTCGCTGAGAAACTGAATTTTCCCGCGGGAATATTCCACTACACAATCACACGCGCATATATAGGGAGGATCGCGTGTATGCTCGCTCTTTGCCTCAGGTGAGATCACATTCTCAATTTCTCAGCGCATTTTATTTTACAACTGAAAAACGGAAATATTTCTTTTATAAAAATAAATTTTGGGCAGTTTTTACTTACTCGTATTTGCCTCAAAATATAATTTGCATTCGTTATTTACATACTAAGTCCCTGTTTGGGAACAACGTTAGCGATTAGCGTTAGCGTTTTGAAAAAGCTATCTACGGGCAGCGTTTAGCGTTAGCGTTTTCAAAGCGATCTGCACCGTTAAAATTTTATCCAAAACGCTAACGCTAGTCTCTAACGTTATTCCCAAACAGGCCCTAACAAAACCAATTTCTTTTTTTACACATTTTAATTGATCTTTAGATAAAATAAATGGTCATATCATCAATTAACACTTGATTTATTGTATTTTTTAATTATCTTTCGTTTAGATCTAATCTTCTTGTTTTGACTTATCCTCGTTTTTAAAGGAAGTTAATTATAGGGTAGATTTGTTTTAGATATACTTACATAAAAATGTCTGAACATTAGAAATAATCGAGAAGATTAAATTCAGACAAAGAAAAACAAAGATGGTATTTTTGTCCAAACAAACATGTATGAGAAGGGAAGACTTAATTTGAACGGATAATAAAGCTCTTGTTCGAAATATTTATTAATTCTACACGAATTTCTAAATATATTAAAAATAAAATAAAATCCTCATTTCTATATACTCCGTATTTTAACCCTTAACTAAACTAAAAGTGAATAATTTAAGTTAAAATTGTTAAATCATATTGAATATAATGAAGCTGAGTGGATTGAATCAAATTTAAAAGAATTCAAAATGTTTGACTGAAGTATTTTTCAAATAATTTTATAAGAAAAATGATATAAAATTTAAAAATAAAAATTATATATTTAAACACTACATCAAAAAATCTTACAAAACAAGAAATGACATAAGTATATTATTTTACCAAATAGGCAACGAAAATAAATCAACAAAGTAAATAAAATTTGATCATGTAAATAGTAAACGGGAAGATAATTTTTGAACGCGGTACTTGGCTGTTTTGAGAATGGTCTTGCTAAATCCACATCCATTAATAGAAATTTGATACTCTGCAATACTGTAGATTTAACAAAATTAGATAAGAAGTGTGGATATACTACGTAACTATTTACAAAGGGAGTGGATTTAGCAATACCTTTTTTTGAAAAAAATGGGGAAGATGGTTTTCACTTTTTGGAGAAAAACAGTTTCTACATTTCTTTTACTACTCCGTAGTTCTTAGATCAAAACTTACAATGCTTTAATTTTCCACAACTAAACCATTTTCTATCTTTTTCAAACGCAAATCTATTGAAAATATGCCCAACACTTGAAAGAATCGTAAGTAAGCATTACGGATTCGAGCATAAAGTAAAGATACAAACTTACCAAAAATTTATTTTAGGTTTTACAGCTTTTTTAAGAACAAAAACCCACTGCGAGCTTATTATTATTATTATTATTATTATTATTAACTTATCCCTCTACTAGTAGTCATAGAAAAAAAAAAGAACAGTCTATCTGGCTCGCAAGATAAGTTTTTTCCCCTCCCTCAGTTGGGTGGCAAAAGACTACTTACTGCTGCCGCAACTCAGGGCGCACAAAGTCAGCATCGGCCGGAACAGAGATGTCAACGGTGGGTCTCAGGCGAGCACAGACTTCAATGGCGCCGTGCACGGGATCCGAGAGGAAGTTCCCAATGAGGTCCTTGTTGAGAGGGGCAGAATTGTCCACGGCCACGAGTGCCTGCTGGGTGAGGATGTAGTCGAACCGCGGGGCCCACTTCCTCGACCCCAGACGCGCTGTCGTGGAACAGTTGTCAACCATGAAGGAGACGCCTCGCGCGTGCATGAATGGGTTCAGAGAATCCACCGACTCTATCACACTCTCGTTTATGATCTCTGAGTACGAATGCCCTTTCTTCCTTAGAACCTCAATCTGAGATGCAAGATAGTTTTATATATGTCACATTTGCAGAAATAACCCATAATGCAGTAGAAGTTGAATAAATCAAAATGGATCTCTAAACTATCTGCGCTTCTTTAATTAATGAAGTAGCAGTTAGTCAAGCAATTCAACTTTCAACGTTGAGCCGGGGGTCTCTTTGGAAACAGCCTCTCTACTTACGAGTAGGGGTAAGGTCTGCGTACACACACCCTCCCCTGACCCTACTCACCCTACTCTTGTGGGATTTAACTGGGTTGTTGTTGTTGTTGCAGTAGAAGTTGAATAAGTAGCCCAACCTCAGTGACAAAAGATTCTGAGTGGGAGATAAGAGGTTTATGGAGAAGGAAAAGAGTTCACCTGAGCCATCATAAGTGCCACATAAACACCGGCAGTGAAAGGATTCAGGGAACCGATATCGCCAGCTGGTCTAGCTGCGCGTACACGTTGACCGACCTTCCACATTCTTGTCTGGTCAATTTTGCCCATTGGGAATGCTGGCAGACCCTCCTTTTCCTGGACAGTTTACCCACCAGAAACGTGACACGTTGAAACGTCATTTGGAGAATAAAATAAAATGCTGGAAACTGAACACATGAAGAGCATGCAAATGTGATGAATATATGGGTTTTTGTGCAAATAGTTTAAGAGGCTGTTTGGTAACTTCTGAATGGGTAAGTGCTGAACCAGTAAGAGGTCTGAACCATTAAGTGCTGAACCAGGAAGAAGTCTGAACCATTAAGAACTAGTATATTGTTTAACTATTCAGAGGCAAATGTCTGATCAATTCAGATAAGAGCTCTTAACCATTCAGACTCTGTATAATACTTAACCATTCAGAGGCAAATCTATTAACCATTCAGACATCTGAACCATTAAGAGGCTGAAACAAACAGTCTGAACCATTAAGTGCTGAATCATTCAGACATCTGAACCATTAAGAGGCTGAAACAAACAGCCCCTAAATGGAGGCAACTTACGTAGAAGCGACGACCAGCCAAAACAACACTTCGGATCTCACTGCCCGCAGCTACATCTTCATAGCACTCGTACAAGATGTCCATGCAAGGATAATATGAAGCGCTGTATGCCTTTTCAAAATCTTTCTTTCCTTCATCAGTCAACGAGTTGTACACAGCCAACATGCCCTATTTCGAAGAAATAAAGTACACCATGAGAAAAGTATATGATTATCTCAAAGTTAAGTGTTTGAAAAACTATTTAATGGCATTGTTTATTTTTATTATTTTCAAATTAATTTGCACCATTAAAAAACAATACAAAACGCATATACCAAACAATGTTTGACGAAAACAATGTTACCAAACACGGCCTATACCAAACTATCTTTAAAATTTAAAGTGGAAAAGAAAAATGCAAAAACAATTAGAAAGAAAAAGAAAATAAAGCCACCCATCTAAATGGAAGAATTTACCTTTGTGGATATGGTTTTAGAGATGATTCCTGTAACGCACTCTACAGTATTCTTATATGCTAGTTCCTCGTCCATGCCATTTTCAGTGTACCTTCTAAATAGTGACTCCACAACGCCATGAACAGCACCCAATAAAATGCCTGACCATTTAAAGCAAATCAGACTAGACCATTATCATAAACTCGTTAACAAAATATCCACTACAAAGGGAAATATTGTCACCTCGTTCACCAAATATGTCACTCTTATACTCTTGCTCTAGAGTAGTGGCAAATGTAAATGGAGAACCAAGAGCAACAGACCACCCAAGAGCAACATTTGTTGCCCTACCGTCAATATCCTGCACATGAAATTATATAAGGCACCATATCCAATAGAATACAGTTATCTGTTTGAATGGAGAATTTTGGAGGAACATGCTTTGGAGTTTGGAGTGCTTAATATATATCTTGATAAATAGAATATTTACAAAAAGGGATAAAAGGTGATAGGAATGTTGATGCAATGATTGCAATCACATATTACATTAATCTTTCAATATTTATAAAATTTGAAATGTGTGTGTGATGTGTATAACACGATATAGACTGAGTCATCCAAGACAAACAACAAATCCCCCCATCCAAACAGGCCTTGAAGTGCAGAGGAAACATAAGATGAAGAATCCAACCTGATGGACTGCAAAACTTGAATTAATTCCAGCACCATTGACTTCCTTTCCTTGCACGTACAATCTCCTTACCGAAGGACCCATCCCTTTCGGGCATACAGCAATAACACTAATGTTATTGGGGAAGTCTAAGCCCAATGATTGTAAATGACCAAGAAGGAAACCGTGTGACAGCCCAAGTATGCTATTAGGCTTCATGTGTGAGAATACCTTCTCATAATTATCAGCCTGCATTATATCATGTGCATGAGTAAACAAGGCCAACCATCATGATGAAAGCATCCTTATCATAAGTATTTCCTAGGCACGACTAGTAATCAAGACCAAGCTGTTGAAGGCGAAGTTTCACATTTGGACTAAGTGATTATATATAATTTATAAACCATAAAATACTTTGATGACAAAGTGTAAGTGCCAACTGCCAACCTGAGCTGAATCTGAAATTAAGAGCAGCACAAGATCACTGCCAGCAACAGTCTCCCATATGTCTCCTAAAGTGCCATTCTCTTCAGTAAATCCAGCTGCACGAGCCTCATTAAATGACTGAGAACCCTTCCTCAAGCCAATCTGCAAAAAGGATGTGCAAATTTAATACTCTTACCACCATGCCAAAGACCCCCGACTCAAAAGCACCCAAAGAAACAGTTATAAACAAAAAACAGAGCAAAAGTAAGGCTAGAGCAGATACGAGAGGACAAAAGAAAGAGTTACAGGCAGCCTGCAACATAAGTAGAACAACAATAGAAACACCCCATGCAGACACAATAATGACACCTCACAAAATGTAAACTAGCCCCTGAAACCCAAAAGCCAAATAATTTAGACAAAAAAGACACCAAAGGCATAGAAATGTACAAT